GGATTTTTAGCGAATATATATATATATATATATATATATATATATATATATATATATATATATGCAGGTCATAGTTTGACGGATTTTCCAATATAAGACGACCAAATTCTCCGATTCCACGTATGTATTTATATCTATAAAGCAAAAACAAATAAAAACATACTGAACCAAAAAAAATCTAAAAAATATCTAAGAAAAAGAAAACCTAAACCGCAGCCTCTCTCTCTCTCTCTCTCTCTCTCTCTCTCTCTCTCTCTCACCTACTCAAAGGCAAAAAGCAGCAACACTTGTAATTGTAAGACGCCTGCTAGCTCCACCGAAAGGGACAACCAGCGACCGAGAGAGACAGCAGATTCCATCTGAACTCTTTCGTTCTGTTTATTCTCCCCCCTGTCTTCCCCACTCAATTCTCCACGTACCCATCTCCGGAAAATCTCTTCTTCCCGGCGAAGTTTCTCTCTTCCATTCGGTTTCCACGAGGATGGGACGACCGTGCTCACTTGGGCAATCTCTCAGAATCACGCTCTGAAACGACCATTTCAACCGACCCAGGACATTCATGGGTAAGACCGGAATTCAGTTGTTTGACGATACGAGAAATGGGTTGTACTCTGTATCCGATTTGGGATATCAATGGAGCCTAGACTGCAGAAATTATCGCCCAGTTGGTGGTTTATTCGCGAGCGTGAATCAATTAGGATCTGGATTTGGGTCGGATTTCGGTTCCGGGTCCGTTTCGACTCCTGACCCCGCGAACAGCGGCAATAACAGCTTCGCTGCTCAGCTCCATGATCTCTACGTCAAGTATTTGCCGGCGAAGGAGAAGGAAGAAGAAGTGGTCGGTGGGAGGAAGAAGAAGAAAAGTGGGCTGAAATTGAAAATAAAGATATCGAACCCATCGTTGCGGCGGCTTATTAGCGGAGCCGTCGCCGGAGCCGTCTCGAGAACGGCGGTGGCGCCATTGGAGACCATTAGGACACATCTGATGGTTGGAAGCGGTGGACACTCGACCACTGAAGTTTTCCATGATATCATGAAGAATGAAGGTTGGAAAGGGCTCTTCAGGGGCAATTTGGTCAATGTCATCCGTGTAGCACCGGCTCGAGCCGTCGAGGTACACTGATTCTTTCCGTCTTTGACAAAATGTTCTGATTTGTGTTGAAGGTTTATTGCAATGCGGATTCCACAGTTGCCTTTGTGATGTGAATTTGGTCGTTGAATTGCATAAAGTGTCTGACTTTTACAAGTCCGAGGTGGTGAACTGTTATTAGGGAACAAGGAGAATATGATAGGATCATATACTTACGTTGGTCATGAGTGTTCCTTTGTCGTCTGTTTCATCTTGGATTCTTTGTGTTGGGTTCTGACATTGGAAATAGCGGGCTTTGTCCCAAGAAGTAATAGTTAGGCTGCATTTTAGATGGTGTTTTTCTTGAACTGATTCGATCCGAATGCAGAATTTCAACTTGGACATTCTGTTGCTTAACGGCTGCCCGCTGCCGACATGTCGTCGATTAATTTCTGGAAATAAAGCCTTTGTTCATCAGAAATCATTCAAGGCCAGATGATAGAATTGTTGGCGCTTTTCCTAATCGGACCTTTGAACCCCTTTCTGCAGCTTTTTGTTTTCGAGACAGTAAACAAGAATTTGTCTCCAAAACTCGGAGAGCAGTCAAAGCTTCCCATTCCAGCCTCGTTAATCGCAGGTGCCTGTGCTGGAGTTAGTCAGACCCTCTTAACATACCCCCTTGAATTGGTCAAGACCCGCCTCACCATTCAGGTACGCTACGCTCCATAGCATTCCAAGAACAATGTTTCCGTAAGATTGTGTTTGGGATTGGCAATCTACACGAGACATAATTGATCAATCATTTAGTTTTCGTTAATTGATTGATCCTTCCAAACTATTTGCAGAGAGGTGTTTACAAGGGAATATGCGATGCATTTCTCAAAATAATTCGGGAGGAAGGTCCTACAGAACTATACAGGGGTCTTGCCCCGAGTCTTATAGGAGTTGTTCCATACGCAGCAACAAACTACTTTGCCTACGACTCGCTAAGAAAAGCATACCGCAAGTTCTTGAAGCAAGAGAAGATCGGTAACGTTGAGACTCTTTTGATAGGTTCCTTTGCGGGTGCAGTCTCAAGCAGTGCAACTTTCCCTCTAGAGGTGGCCCGGAAGCATATGCAGGTGGGAGCAGTAGGAGGGAGGGCGGTCTACAAGAACATGTTGCATGCTCTCTTGTGCATTCTCGAGCAAGAAGGCATCCAAGGTTGGTATCGAGGGCTTGGCCCTAGTTGTTTGAAGTTGGTTCCTGCGGCTGGGATCTCCTTCATGTGTTATGAGTTCTGCAAGAGGGTACTTGTCGAGGATGATCAAGAAGCCTGACTGCTCTCGCTTGTTCTTGGAGTAGAGGAGCTCCGATTCTGGATTTGAACGAAAAGATCCAGTTGACGATTCTCCGACCCAGGTTTTATGGGGACTGACATTGTGCCAAGTGAGGCTTGCAGATACACACCTGAGGAGTTAACGGGGAAACTATGGAATCCTTTTGGATCCAACTCTTCAACATATTCACTGCAGCATTTTTGTTGGATCCCTTATTGCTTTGGGTCATTTGACCATTTTTTCGGGTTCAAATAAGTTAAAAGATTTTCAGGCAACATCCTTAAGGTGTTCTAGACTTGTCTCTGTTCAAAGTCATTGCAAGCAGAGCTCTTTGTGAGGATCGGTCAAATACTATGTCTACAGGTTAAATGCATACTTCAGACATGGAACGGAAATGCTTTCCTCTGTTTCTATTTCTCAGACAAAAACAAGAGGGATCAGGTGTCCATACAACCAATAAGTAACTGAAGTTAGTTAATTCACTAATGAATCCTCTAAAGAGTGGTTTCACTAAAGCAAGCAGAGCCCTCAAGACAAGAAGGCACCAACCAACACTCTCTAGCTCTGATGTTCTGTCTCCACAGCCTCCTGTTGTGCAGCAGCCATCAGCTCATCAAACTTCTCTGTCTTCCCCAGCATGATCTCGATCTTGCAAACACAAATCGACCAGATCAGAAAACAGGTCATGTAAAATAGCGATCAGGGTTCATGTTCAGGGGCTTCCTCGCATCAGGGTTTTACTTTTGGTTTGTGAACAGGCCGCCCAATCTCCTCTCTCATGTCCACCATGGAAGTCATAATCTCTGGCCGACACAAAAGATTAGGTTCCCGATGATTAAGCTAAAGAGATTCGAGCAAAGAGAAAGTGTGAGCTGCCTTACTCTTCTCAACTGCAAACCCATTGCTCTTGAGAATTTCGGCAATGTTGACAACAGTTGCAATCGCTGGAGAGGATGGAAAAGTTGAGATTTTGTGAGATAAAAATCAGACAACGCGGTTTATGATCCATGAGAACGAGGTTAGGGAATTACCCATCCCGAGAGCCGAGAGCTCAACTTCACTGTGCTGCTGCATGTATCTCTGAGGAAACATGGACTTGTCGTTTCAGCAATGTCAAGCCCCAGATAAATCATCAACGGCGAGAGAGACCGAAAAATGGCTGTACCTTGGCGAGATTGACGTAGAAGAAGAGGGGTTTCTTAGTGTTGGAGACTTGGATTCGGTTCTTCCTCGCGTCAGCGATGCTAAGCTTTTTCATTCCCTCGATCACAGCCGCCATTGCCTTCAGCTTCAAGCGAGAGAGTGGGGGAGAAAGAGGACGAACAATATAAGCCCCGACGAAGGGGTTTTGGGACTAAAACGATGCCGTTTTAGTGTTACTCCCCCCCCCCCCTTCCAAATAGAGAAAAAAAACACCAAAAAATCATTATACAATGAAACATCAAATAAAATTTTTCAAATTTAACAATTTAATATGTACACTATTTTTTTGTCAAAAAGATTCACAAAAACGATGATTTGTTAAAAAAAAAATCTAAATTCCTAAATTTAAACAAAAAAATGCTACGTACTAACAAAGCTATTCACGTGAATTGTAGACATGATTATGTGGTTTATAATATAACCATCACTACGTGGTAAATACACAATTGAATCCACATTTTGTATCATTTGTCATCTAAAAAAACAAACAAAAAAATAATAGAGGACTAATGTCTGGTGTTATCGTTGAACAATGAATAACTGAAAGTAGACACTGAATTCAAACCAATTCTAAACGAGGTGAACCAGATATCAGTTACGGTGTTGAAAATTTCGAAGAACAAACTCGGATACCGTAGAAACGAAAACATAAGAGAGAAAAGAGATAAAATCGACACCAAGGAAAAAAATGGAACATCGTAGCCATACATCCATGGACCGAGGCCGAAGATAATGGAATGATATGAAACAATATCTCCCGTGATATTATTCTCAAATCATAACCCTGATTTTATGATTTGTTGTTGCCTAAAATATTGTCTATACATTCTTTAATGTTGACTACATATGTGTATATATTCATGTTCTATTGTTAATGAAAATAATAGAAAAACATTCTCTGACCCGATTATAAGAAAAAAGTTATTCAAAATGATTTTTCCTCTTAATTTGGTCTATATGTGTTTACGGTGTTGGTTGTTAAAACTATATGGAATCAAATAATATATAATCATCTTATTTATTTAAAATGAATTGGATCTAAAAATTGATTAGGTAAATAAGAAAATGACAAAAAATATAAAGAAACAAATGTTTTATTTCCTAAAAAATGAATATTTTCAACGAAAATTTGAATTCTAAAAAATCAAACAAAAAAGTCGAATAAACAACTTTTTCAAAATTATGAAACCAAAATACACAAATAACCGAATAAAAAATAAAGAATTAAAACTTGGATTATGTCTGTTGACCTTTGATACGCATTACGTAGTATCAATTTCAAAGGACTGAGCTCAAATACCGGAGACGAACAATTTAAGAAAGAATAACAGATCACATTTTTCCATATAAAGTTACATAATTTAACGTTACAATACAAAGAGTGCGAACACAAAACTACAAATTCCAACCGAACAAGTTCCCATGAAAACACTTCGAAGTCCTTACAAGACCCCCCCCCCCCCCAGGTTTAGGGTTTTTCCTGGAGATAGTGTGAGCTTGTTGAGATGATATCATGACAGACGAGGGAATACCGATCTAACAGTTGACGCCGCATTGGCCATTGACATTGGTGCTCGAGGTGGTTGAGACGAAGGGGTTGATCCGAACCCAGAGCAAGGAGAAGATGGATGCAAGAAGGATGGACCAGACAATGACAATGGTTGGAGTTCTGTTCTGTCTCCCCAAGAGACCCTTCAAGAAAGGGTACAAATGGGCAATGACCCAAAGGGCGAAGAATAGCTTCCCGAAGAGTGGGCCCCAGGACTGGTACCCGCTGTTTATGGCGTAAGAGACGCCAGTCACGATCCCAACAAGGTTCACGATCAAGACTGTGGTGGGAGGGACGAGAAGCGACGTCCATTTGAAGACGTAGAGCTCGGCAAAGTCTCCGTCTTCATCAGAGGCTTTGGAAGTGACTGTGAAATTGGTGTCGATACCCGCGAGGACTTTGAGGAGACCTTGGAAGACGGCAAAGAGATGGGCAGAAGTTCCACCGATGACCCAGAACTGCTCATTCCTCCACCAGTCCTCGATGCTCACTCCGCTCCATCTTAGCTCCAAGATTCCCGTCGCAAAGATTGATATGAAAAGCAGAATGAACCACATGCTAGCGAAATTGCTTATCTGCAACATTGTTTACACATCAGATCATCTCCCAAGGATTCAGAGATACGGGTGGGTGTTTAAACCTGAGACTTTGAGGAGACCTTGGAAGACGGCAAAGAGATGGGCAGAAGTTCCACCGATGACCCAGAACTGCTCATTCCTCCACCAGTCCTCGATGCTCACTCCGCTCCATCTTAGCTCCAAGATTCCCGTCGCAAAGATTGATATGAAAAGCAGAATGAACCACATGCTAGCGAAATTGCTTATCTGCAACATTGTTTACACATCAGATCATCTCCCAAGGATTCAGAGATACGGGTGGGTGTTTAAACCTGAGCCCCGCAGGTTTTCGGTACCCGGTTTCACGGGTATCCAAGAGGCGGGTACCTGTCCCACCAATGATACCGAAGGCAAGTGCGACGAGGCGAGGAAACCCGGGCTGCGGGTTTGGGATTTTCCAAGCCACAACGGGTTACATGCCAAAGGTTCGGGATTTTCCTGATGTTTTAGTGTACTTACAATAATACCTAGATAGTTTTCCGTATAAAATTGCCATTATAAGCCCATAGTCAATCAAGTTAATAAAACTCTAGATTTTCACGTGTTCGGGTATACGCGAGACTCATGGCTACCCGCACCCACCCCCTATTCAGATAAATGGGACACGGCATCAAATTAAAGCTAATAGGTAGTTTAACTGACCTCGGGTATGATGAACTTGTTGGTGATGAGGCAAAAAGCTGGGAGCATACAGTAAGCTATCAGCGGGATGGAAGTAATAGGATAGACGATGGTGTTGATGTAGGCGAGTCTCTCCAAAAGCTTCAACCTTCCATTGTAACCATACCATATGGGACAATGTCTACTCAGCAGAATCTCGATAGAACCCAAAGCCCATCGAAGAACTTGATTGAGACGATCCGAAAGATTGATTGGTGCAGAACCCTTGAATGCAGGCCGTGGAGGCATGCAGTATACCGACATCCAGCCTCGGGCATGCATTTTGAACCCGGTAAGAATATCTTCTGTCACAGAACCGTAGATCCAACCGATCTAAAAACCAAACATGAAGTGGTTTTCAGACATGTAAGAAGGAGAACAGGGACTAAAACATGTCCTTCCGATATTATATTGACTAACCTCTTTGCCCCATTCCGTCTTGTCCTCGTAACCGCAGCTGATAACATGAATTGCTTCTTTCAGAAGAGTTGCGGGATTGGTCGTTGGTGGAATACCGCCCTGTTCCATGAAGGTAGCTGCTATAAATACCGGAGACTGGCCAAAACGCTTCTCGAGACTCTTCTGAGACATTAGAAGTGACCTCTCATCATCATAGCCTGCATAATGAAGAACGTTAAAACCGAGCTATTCATCATATACTGTGAAGAATTTCTTCACACATACAAACATCGTTTTTAGACTAACAGTCCAACCTTCGAAACCCTCTTCGATGTCTTCCATATTGAAAAGGGGAGCATTCGAGTCACTTCTTTTGATGATTCCTCCTCTCTTTTTGTCGTAATTACTCTTCTTGCCGCTCTTTCCTTTCTTCCTTGACCCGCAACAACTCTTCACAATAATATTCGGTTCAAGATCTTCTTCTGTCAAGACAGGGTCATAACCATACAGAGCCTGCCTATTGAAACAACAACCAGTACCCACATAAACTGGACCCTGGATACCATCCAACCCCTTCAAGTTAATCTGCAAATGGAAAAGAAAAGATTTGAATCAGCCAAAAGGGGAAATAGTGAATGACATAGGATACCAACAAAAAAAGGGGGAAGGAGAGACATGAGTTGAGAATGGTTAGTCATTAACTCACGTCAAAGAACACGATGTTTCTGTTGGCATATCGATCGTGCAAGTCAATACCATCAAAACGTTGTGGGAACTGCACATAGCAACACTTCTTTCCGATAACAGGGTCCATCATGAAACACATTGCTTCTTTAAGAGCTTTGCTGTTGTTGAAGTAGTGATCACAATCCACGTTCAACAGATACGCCCCGTTGGTAAGAACAGCTGAAACACGGATCTGTCAATGGCAATGAAAAGCTTAATCATGTAAAAATACAAAAGCTATGTTCTTGACTGATTTAAGTATATTCTCACGAGAGGGCTGACTGAACATTTTGGCAAGAAAGTCTCCAAGGCATTCTACAACAGAACTATGAAGAAACGAGAAATCGAGGGGGAAGTAGGAATTTAAAAGGAAACGAACCAGTGCATTCATAGCTCCAGCCTTCTTGTGATGCTGAAATCCAGGTCGCTTTTCACGAGAAACGTAGATGAGCCTAGGCAGCTCATTTCCATCAGTATCAAGGCCTCCACTGTGACCTAAGAACACCTGAGATTAAAACCACGTAATCTAGCATCATCAATGGCATATTTTGAAAATAATGTTGTGGCACTACCCTTAAACTGGTAGAGAGATAATAAGACTTCCCCTACTCTACCTGGATCATTCCCGGATGGTCTCTCGGGTTATTACCAGGCCACGGAGTACCATCCTGCATTGTCCAGCCTTCTTCAGGCATCTTCTGTGCTTTGGCCACAAGGGCATTGATCCTCACCTTAAACTCCTCATACTCTCTCTGGTCAGCACATGGAAAAAATATTATATATATACACAAAAGGGTCACTCTTCATGCAATTGTATTAATCCAAATCACCTTCATTGCACGTCGCTCTTTAACAAAAGACGGTTGGATCTTGTCTTTCAAGTAATCTATCTTTTGGGAAAAATAAAACTCGGGGGCTCTAGGTTCAATGTTGAACTTCTTGCAGAAAGGAACCCATTTCTTTGCAAACTCTGAAGTTTCAGAGAGGGCTTCAAAGGTTAGCATAGCTGAACCATCATCAGAAACATAACAAGCTACTTTGTCAACCGGGTAGTCCACAGAAAGAATTGAGAGAACCGTGTTAGCTGTTACAAGAGGAGGTTCTTTCATCGGGTCCACCGTACTAACAAACACATCAACAGGAGCTAGCTGCGAAGGTTCACCTTCCCGATCATATCTACAATAGAAAAAATTAAATAGTTAAAGAAAAAGACAATACCAACCAAGATCTATTCCAAGGGAGACAGACATAACATAACAGATATTTCAAGAAGGCAAGCATGAAAAATGTATCTTAAAAATAAGTGGGAAAACAGAGTCAAGAAACCAGTTATGGCGAAAAAGGAAGAGTATAAACTTAAACACCAACCTTAAAGCGAGCCTGTCGAGATAAGTCTCCCTGTTAATGGGATACCACTTTGGAAACTGGTCAAGAAGCCAAGAAAATGCAAACCAGATCTCACAAATAACTGATGTCAACCACAAGGCATATGCATCTTTGACGGGATGAGTTGTACGGTATTGCAAGAAGAATCCCAAGATGATAAGCCGAAGAACAATCACAACTCGATATGGTGTCACGTGGGAGGATGGGATAGGCACGATACGGCTCATAGGAAGCCTAGCATCATCAGCCCTGTCAGAACAATATCCACAAATGAGAACAGTAAATAAAACTTTAGACATGAATTGTAGGTTATCTTTCATTATTATAAGTTTCTACACATTCAAATCTTCCAAAATATCTATGTCCATAAGGTTTCCAATCAGAGGATGAAAGCATATTTATAAATATATAAACCAACCAACGAAGAAATGAATCTGGAATTGCAACTTACATTTGGAGTTCTTCGCCATTCGAACCAGTCCCTTCAATTTCTCCTCCCTTCCCTTCATGGTATTTACCATTTACCTGTATCATATTCTTCTCCTGCTTCAACTTCCAGCCTTCAACCCTTTCTTTCCAGTCAACGGTTCCAAGACCATAAGAGTTCAAATCCTTGGAAGGGTCCACAATTCTTACAGGGACTGCAATTTCGTATGGAGTTATCAGTTAAAGTATCCCAAAAAACTGTAATAACGTGAAGAAATTCCATCCAATCATGTTCAAGAACAAAGAATCAAACGTTGATGAATACCAGGTTGTCTTGGGTCAACATATGGAGATGAAGCAGCATTCCTGTCAGGAGGGCCCAAGGGACCTGACATAGTTCGAACAGATTGTGTATCAGGAGTAGCGCAAGGAATCTCCCCAGAAACCTGTGTATAAAAAAGTTACCAATATTTTAAGAACAGATGCAACTAAAAACACAGATAAAACTAACCTTAGATTACCAAGAAAAGAAAAAGAAATGGACACAAGAAGACTTGAGAAAGTAGGCGTCATAGTGAAGCCAATGTTATGATGCCCAAATTGAAAATCGAGTAGAAACTTCTCAACAATGTCCAATCATATGGAAATCTAGAGGTTTCTTGAGTGGTACAAGTCACCCCACAGTCTAAAAGGTGAACAGACAAATGTGTGTATTCCTACCGTATGGCCATGGGTGAGAAGGGGAATTGGTTGAGATTCATGTCTGGAAGACGATGAGAACTCTTCACCATGACGCAGATGTCTCGCCTTGTTATTCCCCTGAGAGTAATTGAACTCGTTCTCGAGATCATCAACATCATCTTCATCTTCATCTCCTTCAACACGAGGACTGCCTGAACGAATCAAACTTGTTTCAAAATCAGAAATGAACATCAAGAATGACGATCATATGGGGTGAAAAAAAGGAAACCCGGTACGAAGAAGCACATCAGACTACTGACCTTTGTGTCGTCTGTACCTAGTCTTACATTGTGGACAGCACTGAGTTCCGTCTTTCCTCTCATACTCATAACAAGGTCGACATACGGGGAATGCACATTCATTACAAGCTACGAACACATCACCATTTTCAGTAAGTCCAACCCCATCACCACAGATCTGACATATCTGTCCATTCAGGTTTTTCAAGGGTTTGGGCTGCATTTTGATCACCATTGTGTTACTAGTAATCAGAGATTCCCCACACAAACAATGAGACTAAAAGAAAGGAACAGATCCCTATGGATCTAGACGAGCAATTTTAAGAAACCGCCTTCAAATGATCTCAGATCCTAATGTTGACCCACAAAGGAAATAATGCTGTAGCAACCAAAGGAAAATCTGGATTCAGGAATATCCCTTTGATAACTTCATCATAAGAGATCTTCAAGTACAAATGCAACTTGGCTATGCTAGTTTTCAATTAGCATATAAGGAAAGTTTTGGACTTTGAAAATCTATGATTTAGAGAATGATAATAAAAATCAGAAACCAAATCCTTATATGAAGCATCCACCAACACTGTTCGGAATAGATCGAAAGCCAAATGGAGACAAAAACAGAGTAGAAAGTACAAAAACAGAGATCCGAACATGATTACCAGATTCCAACGAATCTTAAACTGGAAACTGACATCGAACCAAACAAGATTCGCAGTTAAGCCACTCGGTCGAAGTTGATAAGTTGAAACTAACCCACTTCATAGATGAATGCCCAGAACTCAAAATCATACAGAAATACCAGAAATGGGGGAATTCGGATCAGATCTAGCTATCAAAACCCGAGCAGAGAAAATCAGAACCATCAAATAAACAGGAAAAAATTAGAAAGGACTGAGATAAAGTGAAAACCAAGAAAGGGGGAAGCTCAGATTACAAACCTCGCCATCGGAATCGTGTCGGATCCGGACAAGCTCGTTCCTCCTGTAGGATCCGGCAACCATGCCGGCACGCGCCTCCATCGGTTTCTAGCTCAGAAACGCCGTCGGTTTCTGAACCAAAGAAGATGAAGAGTACAATGTACTCAAAAAGCCAGAGAGAGATTCAAAATTTGTTCAGAAAATCGTCGCCGATTCAATACGGCGAAAGCTCTCATTACACAAATGTCCACTCTCTCTCGGTCTCTTCCTCTAGTTCCTTGTCTACTACTATGTTCTTTAATTTCTCTGTTTCCGTGTTCTTTTTCTATTTTTTTTTTTTATTACAAGTCGATACTTCACCTGTAGCCTGTCCGCTTAATGAATACAGCTTGGCTTACACACTTTTGATTCCTTACATCAATTTTGATTTACATTAATTATTGTGAATAAAATAATTTAATAGTCATTATCAGTTCTGAATCTAATATTATCTTTAAGTCATTTGTATATTTTCATGAAATAGATAAGATGAAATTTTCATAATTATTGAATAATTGGTCATTAAGGATAAAAAAATTCTCTCAGAACGAACCTTCTAGTTTTAATTTTTTTTTAAAACGCATACTTTCAATTAATTATTTTAAACCATTAAGTATTTGTATTTTAGTTTAAAAAAAAGGATAATTTTCAAGTTTATATTGATTTAAAATGAACGTGGCACATAGAAAGAACTCGATATTTGAAAAAAAATAATAATCAAACATGTAACTATCCTAACAAATAAAATAATGTCCAGGTCACATTATACATGATTATCTATACAAAAAAAAAAGAATAATTCTAAAAATCCTATACTTACACTTTATGGGATATCCATCCTCCATAAAAAAAAAAGGTCTCACTAAATTTCTTCTTTTATAATCTATTTTTAAAAAAAAATCAACATATGTGAACGTAAAGCTACAAGATTAGATAAAACTTTAACTTTAATTCTTCTCCAAATATATGGACTTTGCAATATTATCCTTTGTGTTGCTTTAAATAGTTTCAATATTCTTTGATGGATATCAAAAATATAAAAAGATTTTTTTTTTTGTATAATTTTATCATTAAACCCTTGGTTTTAAATTCTTTTTGGAGATTCCCAAAAATATATACATGTATTAAGCCGAGCCGTTTGTATAGCGCCACTAAAGCTGATGATGTATTGGAACATCATTGGAGGGAAGTGAGGAAGAGACAAGAGGAGAAAATAATTAGATTTTCTAATTAAAAAAACAAAATCACACTGTTACAAGCTGCCGGAGAGATTACCGGCTATAGCCGGTGATTCCCGTAGGCTAAACTTCAGTGACTGTAGGTGCCTTCGCCCTATCTTTAATCCTATTATTAATAAACCAATTTGTTTTTAATTATAAAGTTAAATAACGTTACTGACGCTCCACCAAAACCTTATATGTGTAACTGAAATTCTCCATTTTCTTCTCAATCAATACGTTATGTATTTTATTACTCCTCAAATCAAATGTGATACAATATAAATTATAAAATATAATATGTAGATGGATGGTAAATTGTGATGATTAAAATATAACTTAAATAACCTAGTGATTATATATAAAGAAGGATTTGTCCTAACGGTAATATCTTCGGATTTAGATGTCATTATGAATATCATACTATAAAAATTAGCTTAGTATCAAAATCCCGAGTAACAATATTTTTTTCTTTAGCAATCAACAAAACATACCAAAATCCGGAAACAAACTATGAAAAGATCGCTTTGATTTGATCCTTCTATATTCTATTTTTTTTTCTGGTAATTTGGATATAACCTAAACCCAATAAAAGATCTTTTTAAATCATGTTTTGAAAAAACACTCTCCCACCTTATTACAAATCAAAAATTTCTAAACTGATTATATTTCTTTAATACGAATTAAGTACATTTCGATATTTTTCTAAGTAATACTCAACTCTCAAAAGTTTTCTGTCTTCCTGAATGAAACTCTTAGTATTACAAAAAAATTTACCAATCCCAGACATACTGCATGCAGCACATACTACGTATCAACCTAGATCATGTCTAGACGCAGCGAACGTTTCACCTATTATTGAAAGACTTCTCTACAAGTATACCCCGTGTTCTTAGATAACTTTCATCAGTATTTTCCTTACAGTTATCTCTCACCATGAGTATCTCTCACCAATCTCATGCTCAATGCTCGGCAATAGCAATCTTCTCGACAATCCTCTCAATGAATGGTCGTTCTCCTTTATAGTCTTTCCAACCAGATTCTTCAAATAATCTTCGAATATATACTTTGTTTTTCTCTCTTTTGTGTGCAATATCTTCTTTCCTTATACGACTCTTTCTCTTTGAATGTCAACATCCCTACCTTGTATGTTGCACTTTTTCCATTTGTTTGCACGATTCTTCTAGATATAGAATATGCACTTTTTTTTGGCGACCGGCTACCTCTACCGGCTACTTGACGTCGTGTTCTTTAGTATCTGCAAACACAACACCAAATATGATTATTTTGATTTACTATAATTAAATTAAACGTAACCATCTTTGTCAATTTAAAAAAAGTCAAGATGGTATTATATATATGTGTGTGTTGCGTTTAAGTGTAAAACTGTGGGAGTATAGACATACATGTCTAAGCATGTGGTTCTCGTTCTGCAAAGTGGAGAGTCTTTCTTCAAGCTCAGAGTTCTTCGTCTCCAGATCTTTCACCCTCTTCTCTAACTCGTTCATGTAAGCTTTCTTCCTCTCCCTCGCTTGCTGGGCAGAGACTCTGTTCCTCAACAACCTTCAACATTTCGCCACTATAATCTTTCAGACATCGAAAACAATGGCAGTATGGCAATTAGGTTAAACACCGAGAACTACCTCTTTAGCCTTTTGCTCTCCTTCTCAGCAGGATCTTTTCCTCTGCTTCTTTCTCCTTCTCCATACTTTCTAACAGCCTCTGCTCCGGCGACTGCTTCTTGGTCTCCGGCGTCAAAATCCGGTGTTTCATCGGTCTCCTCGTCGCTATCGAGACCTGAATTCCATGGAAATGGAAGCTGAAGAGCCAAGATGCAAAATTTATGCTACATTGTCGACCACTGGTCAAAAGACGTAACTTCATCAACATGAACAGATCTTGATCTTGAGAAACTTTTTCTTTTTATTTATTGAGGATCTTGCGAAACTTTCCCGGGGAAATTTTTTCATGGGAAAATTTGCAGACCCGGGTGAGAAAATCTGGATTGGAGCCAAACCCAGAACGGTTAATTTACTAGTTTCGATTACCATCGAAGAAAGTTTCGAACTTTAAACTTGGGATCCTGCCTTAGATTGATGATGATGTCCATTTCCATAATTGATAACATTAGACCATAACTCTGTGATCGATGATCCCTATTCATCGCAATTTCATTTTTTTTTTTATAAAGATCGCAATTTCAAAATTACATCTCTCATGAAACGAATTTAAGAAAATCACGAAACCTTCTTTGACGTTTGGAGGAAGAGTAGAGCCTGAGGATCTCTCGCTACTTGTAGGAAAAGAACTCGCCATCTTTTTTTGTTCAGTATTGGAAAAATACCTACGTATTTTACGATCTGTATACACACTTTTTTTGTACGCAAGTGCGTGTGTGTATATATATATATATATATACACACACGCACATATTCGAATTACATCCTTAATGGCGAAGAGTTATTTCGTGTCAAGGAGGTGGACGGACGTATAATGGCGCAAGGCGTGAAGTTGCAGGCAGAGCTCAGAGTTGATGTCAGCCGTTGGATTGGTTCTGATCGGACGGTCTCAAAAGACCAAACGTGGAGGGATTTGAGCCATAAAGCCTTGGTTTGATGGACGTGGAAGGATGTTAGCCGTTAGATGAGAATCGGCCTTGGATCCTACGGTCTTGGATCTTGCATTGAGTATCCACAGGCCGCCGTATTTTTATGTTGGCTGAGATGTTTTGCCCGCGGTTTTAACTTTTAAGGCTCATGTCAGGTGCAACTAATTAATTAGTATATTTCAGATTTAAGTTTTCGTTAATTTTTTTTTTAGAAAATCCAGGATAAATTCAAAAAACAAAATCATTAATTATCTTACTTATATAAAAATCTTATATTTTAAATTTATTAATAATTAATTTTAAAAATATCATCAAATATATAGTTTATTTAAAAACAATATCTAATTTTTAAATTTGTTATAAAAACATCAACGAACCATCAACCATATAAATTATTCAAAAAATATTCTTTATAAAAATCTATAAATTTTTTGAATAGAATATATAATTTATATAATTTTAAATATTAAAAATAAAAAATAGATATTTATATAGATTTAATGGTACTTATAATATATATATATAGGTTTTTATTATATATTTACAATTATCTTTATTTAATAAATCTATGTAAAAATAATATATTTAAAATCGAATATATTTATTAGTCAAAAAATTTATATTTTATCATATGATATTTATATATATATATAAATATTTAAGTTTTATTGTAATATTTAGAATTATAGAAGGTATGTGTTGGACCCTTAGGATTCACTGTGCAAGTCAACGGATCAACGGGAGCCGAAGTTCATGTCTAAGTTAAACACGAACGCTTTTGCTTCACATTTCTATGACAGGCTCCTCTTGCCCATACCCCAACTAGAACTTACACTAGGGCTCTTACTAGAACTTGCTGTACCCTTAGGACTCTAGCTTCGTTTCCGGCTCCTGAATCATCAACTCTTCATAATGTGTGTGTCCATATGGAACGGGAACAAAGATATCCATTAACGGAGGTGTTGGAAAGACGGAAATCAGACCTAGATTTGCCAGGATGCCCACCAGAAATCTATTTTCAGATGCAACACCCGGAACTCCTCCGTTGCTTCGTCATCATCCTTCTCAAGCAAATCTTGCTTCACCCTTTTTTCCTGGTGATGAGATTCAGCCTCTTTTTTCCACATTCTACGGAGAATCATTTGATTCAAAATTGTGGTCGGAATGTCATTGGAGAACGCAAACAACAAAAAATCTTCAAAATTGCCAGCAGAGGTGCATCACTTACAACCAGTAGCACCCATATCAGTAAAATATGAAGAGATCCCGTATCAATCACGGACACGAACACCGATACCAATACCTACACATCCAAATCGCCACAAGAAAGATGAAGTAAAATGCCCTCTATACGAGCTTACGAGACCTTGAAATGACCGAGTCGAAGGAAGAAGGACCCTCTGATTAAAAGAGAAACTTTGCAAGCCCTCAAACATAAACTAATTTACAAGTTTACCCTCAAACTTTTGTTTTCCCTTTGTTCTCCCTCTTGACTGTATCAGCGGCAGCGATACACGCAAACCACGCCGTTGTCTTCCTTCTCAGTTCTTAATCTCGCATCGAAGCTCGCAATTTTCGTGTCGTTCGCCATTAATCTACACGATGAAGTCTTCGCTCTTGAGAGCTAACTCTGTTGTCTCTTTACGGAAGGTATGTCGTTTTTCCTGTTGTTCGTCTGGGTCGATCAAATGGTTGGATAAAATGTTGAGAAATCTGAGTACAGTTCCCGAAAGTTGGGATTATCTGAAATCTCTTGGATATCACGCGGATGATTCTTCGGACAAAACTAATAATACAAATGAGTTTGACAGTAAAAAAGCTCAACACTTTTTTGGGTTTCGGCACAACTTAAACCCTAGGGCAGGGTTTGAGGGAGACTATGTGAATGATTTCGCGAGACATTCTGCGAGAAAAGATGCGATATCTGGGCAGAATCCAAATGGCGTTTATCAAGAGTATGCTAATCCTAGAAACCACAGTGGCAGAGAACACGGTGGCTTTGATGAGTACAACGGGAAAAATGATGCGATATATGGGCAGAATCCAAACGGCGTTTATCAAGATTATGCTAATCCTAGAAACAATAGTGGCAGAGAACACGGTGGCTTTGATGTGTACAACGGGAGAAAAGATGCGATATATGGGCAGAATCCAAATGGCGTTTATCAAGATTATGCTAATCCTAGAAACAATAGTGGCAGAGAACACGGTGGCTTTGATGTGTACAACGGGAAAAATGATCAAAATATTCTGCGGAATCCGACCGAGTTTTATCCAGGGAGAATGCAGGGTTCTTGGGAGAATCGGAATGGTGTATATGGGGAGAGGTCACAAGGATTTCAGCAGAATTGGAACATATACAGTCAGAGCGGAACTGGGAATTATGGTGGAGGTGACAAAAGTGTTCATCAGCAAAATCAGATTCCATCGAGTAGCAGTGTTAACTCCTCATACAGTTATAGCAATGGATTTCAACAGCAGAATATTTGTATGGTTCAGACACAGAACTCGTTGAACGCACAAACTCAGTGTAAGGGTTCCAACCATGGCGGAGAAGGTGGAACATGGCAAACTCCTAATGCCTTTGATTCGCAAGTCCAAGCTTATGATCAAAGAAACCTCAACTGGAACAACACACAGAGTTGGCAGAACCTGAGCACAAGCCCAGGAAGACAACACTGGACAAACTCAGATGATCAGAATGGTCGGTCATCTTTTCAACAAGGCAATGTCTCTCGCACTAACATGGGGAAATCTGAGAGTGATTTCTTGATTGAGGACTTAGATGCATATTGCAGAGATGGTAAGTTGAAAAATGCCGTAAGTGTTATCCTTTCAATGACAAGTAAGGGTCATGTGGTTGATTTACCTAGGCTGTTACGGTTAGCTCAGCTGTGTGGGGAGGCAGAGGCTTTACAAGAGGCCAAGACTGTTCACAAGCACTTTAGTGTTTCCGTTTCCATTTCTGACATCAATTCCCACAACCTAATGATTGAAATGTTTGCGAATTGTGGTTCAGTGGATGACGCGTTAAGTATTTTTGAGAAAATGGCAGAGAAAAATTCAGAGACTTGGTGCACTATGATAAGGTGTTTGGCTAAGAATGGTCTAGGGGAAGAGGCCATTGATATGTTTACTCGTTTCAAGTATGAAGGAAACAGACCCGACAGTCAAGTATTCAAAGGGGTCTTCTATGCGTGTTCTATACTAGGTGACATTAATGAGGGATTATTGCATTTTGAAGCAATGTATAAAGACTATGGCATCATCCCCACCATGGAACACTATGTGAGTGTTGTTGAGATGCTTGCAGCACCCGGTTATTTAGATGAAGCCTTGGAATTTGTCGAGAAGATGCCAATGGAGCCAAGTGTTGAAGTGTGGGAAACATTGATGAATCTTTCTAGGGTTCATGGGGATTTGGTGCTTGGAGATCGGTGTGCCGAGGTGGTTGAGCAACTAGATGCAACACGATTGGATAAACAGTCAAGGGCGGGTCTGTTACCAGTCAAAGAATCAGACGTCGCGAAGGAGAAACTGAAGAAAGCATCGGGAATCCTGGATCCTCTAGAAATTAGAAGCAAAGTCCATGAATTTAGAGCAGGAGATACTGCACATCCCGCGAATGAAAAGCTCTATGGCGTGTTGAAGAGTTTAAAGGTGCAAATGGTTGAAATGGGGTATGTCCCTGAACATAGATTTGTTTTGCACGATGTTGACCCAGAAACTAAGGAGGAAGCCCTTCTTGCCCACAGTGAGAGACTAGCTTTCGCTCAGGGTCTTCTCAGCTCTCCTGCCCGCGCTCCTATCCGTGTGATTAAAAATCTCCGAGTATGTGTTGATTGCCATAATGCACTGAAGATTATGGCGAAAATAGTTGGGAGAGAGTTCACCATGCGAGATGCGAAGAGATTTCACCATCTTAAAGATGGGGAGTGTTCTTGTAACGACTATTGGTGATCCAGTGAAAACCCCAGTGCCAGGTGCTGACCTCTTTGCATCAGTCACGTTTGTTATATTTTGTCATTTAATTCTTTGCAGCGGATGGTTTAGGGATTTGGGGAAAGCTCAAAGACTCTACTGAAAGGCTCCGTAGTTGTTATTATTGTCTTTATCAGAACTGTTTTGTGTCGTCCGTATCTTGATAATTAAGACAGCTTGATTCGGAGGCATGTGAGTGAAACATTGCGCATGAACGGAGTTGGTTTTGTTCTGGTAAGACAGAGTCTTGGAATCTGACGTTTGTGTTCGATATTTGCAGGATGCTTCCGACAGGAGGAAAGAGTCAATGATGGGAAATCTATGAAGTGCAACAAAACTTCAGCCATTCATGATTCATCAACAAAGCGACCATGTATGCCTCTCATCCTCTTGACATTGGAAGATTAAATTAGCCCCAATCTCAGATAACCTATCCAGTTCCATTGTCTCTAGATTTGTTTACATACAGAAAGCATGTTAGAGGGTTTGTTTGAAAAAAAAATAAGCTTGAAGTATGACAATGACCATAGGGTTTCAACTTTCATGCATGACTATCAGTGTATCTGTCAGGTATTTTTCGGTCTCAAGGAAGCCAGAGATCTTCTTGGCCAATCTCGGGTTCGTCCGCACATTTCCTTTGTGTTATTTATGATTCCTCGAGCTCCCTTTCCTAGTAGTGTATCCATCTGTTTCTCCACTACCATTGACACGAGCGTTGGGCGAACGTCGAAATGGTATGCAACTGGATTCGTCCATCCCGTTTACACGGCTAAGACGATAAAATTTCCGAGCACCCCTCTGTACCCGATGTCTTTTCGGAGTATTTGAGGTGATCTTACAGCCTTTTCATGTTTCATACCGTGTTGGGTCGTAGGGTTTCATGTCAAACGCGCAGGGGAACAAATTTAGACCTGTTTTGTCAATAGTGTAGAATCGAATTATAACCTGAAAACTCCGTGTCGTATGGTCCAAATCTGATCACAAGTGTTCAATTATCCGCCATCTAGGTCTGCTAGGACTCATAAAAACCTTAATGATAACCCTAGTGAGAGCTTAAGTTTTTACTTATTATCAATTTTACCCCATATTTTGTATATAATTGATAATTAAACCAAACCTATACTAATAATCATATGGATCCTTACAATAATGACCCCCAATAGTAGGCATGTCAAACAGACCGGTCCGGTTCGTCAGCAACCCAGACTAGTCCGACCCATATCTATACAGAGCAATCGAGACCTGACTCCCCTAACTAGCTCGTGGGCCAAAGAAGTCGGGCTTGCAAGTTAAAACCAAACTAATAACCAAATGCAATTAACTAAATAAAAGCCCTAAATTATGAGTCTGAAAACTTGTTGTCGTGTCGATTGGAGCGGCCGAACGTATTCAGAATAAAAATCAGATTTCATTTTTTTTTTAACTCTAATAAACTAAAAGATAATGTATGAGAAAATTGTTTAATGTGTTAGAAATTGCATTGGGTCAAATATTACATTTTAGTTATGATTTCAATATAACATAAAGTTTGTCAATATCACCAAATATTTTTTTGTTAGTTTCTATTTCTGAATTTACTTTAAAACTGATTCTAAAACCCTAAAAACTGTATCTGCAGATTTCATCGAATTTAATTCTCCATTCAGTTTCCTCCATCTCGTTCGATTCCTTCCATATTCATCAGATATGATTTTCTAACCTAAACCTGATTCGATTCCAGAAACAAAACAAAAGAAAGTGACGAGCTTCGCCTCCTCTGAGGTGGTTGGTTCTTCGTCCCTTCGCCATTAATGCACAGGAGGAAGGATCTGCTCTTGAGAGCAAACTCTGTTGTCTCTCTACCAAAGTTATGTCGTTTTTCGAGCAGTTCTTCTGGGTCGATCCCCTTTCTTTCTAGGGTTCCTGGGGATTCGGAGCTCGGAGATGCAACACGACTGAGCGACAAACAGTCAAGGGCGGGACTGCTACCAGCCAAAGAATCAGACATTGCAGAGGAGAAACTGAAGAAAGCATGGGGAATCCATAACCATAGATTCCATGAATTTAGGGCAGGATATACTGCAGATCCTGAGAACGAAAAGCTCTATGGCCTGCTGAAGGGTTTAAAGGCGCAAATGGTTGACACGACAAAGTATGTCCCCTGATCTCGGACTTGTTTTGCGTTTAGACAGATTTGTCATGCTCCAAAGAATCAACTGAATGACTCCCTAGTCGTAGTTGTGTCTTTATCAGAACTCTTTTGTATTGTTGTGTGGTGATAAGTTAGGAATACGGAATCCGAAAGCGTCCTCATTCTCCGTTCGTCTCCTGTCAAGAATCCGACTACTAGAGACCGAAAACACAATACCGTGTGACCCAAATGCTCTTTCGAATTTATTATGACATCTATATTTCTCGAATCACTTAACCCTTTATCAGACACATCCCTTCGCTTTGGTGTGGAGATTTCAGATATGAGAGTGAAACATGTCTGGGAATGTGATGTTTTAGTGTTCGGATATTTTGCAGGAAGCTTCCAAAGGTTTAATGATGGGAATCTATAATGTTGCACCACTCATCCACTTGACATTGGAAGATTAAATTAGCTCCAAGCTCAAACTCCGATAACATGTTACAGTTCCATTGAAGAAAGCATTTTAGAGGGTTCGTTTGAAATACAACAAGCTTTAAGACAATAGGGTTGCAACTTTCATGCATGACAATGAATTTAGGACTGACCATTTCGGTTATATTCGGATTCGGTTATAAAAACTATAACTTTTCAATTTTTATATAAAGTTTGGCTCGATTCAATTATTTTTCTGACTCGAATTCGTTTTTTTATAAAAATTCACTTATTCAAAGATCCGTTTAGTTTTTATATCGGATTCGGTTCGATTACATTTATATCTTATTCGGTTCGGTTGGACTATCCGATTAATAACCAAAATGATCACTTCTAACTGTGATAGTAATTATATGTCAAAGGTAAGAATTCTAATCTAATTATAGCACTAATTGAAAACTATTTTCAGTGCCAAACCGAATTACGAGTAACTATTAGCTTCATGAAAGAGAAACACAGAAATGCTTTCGATGTTCGGACTCCAAGACAAGCTGTTCCATTTTTTTTTTATATAAAAAAAGGGTCCATCACAAAACACAAAATTGAAGCTGATACGTCGGTTCATCATTTAACGCGCAGAGCTCGCGAGCACAGGAGATATTAGGGTTGAGAGCCTCGGGTGGGACGACAAACATGGTTCCGTTTACGAGCATGCTCTTCGTTGTGGTGCTGTGTCCGACATGTGTGTCCGTACCAGCAGTCTTCCCTCTGCGCTGCGTCCGCCGGAAGACACTGCCCAAAGTAGACTTGTGAAAATCCTAATCTAAAACCTCGGCCGACACGACCCTACTGCTGCTTTCAAAACATGAATCTCGTAATGTTCCCTATACGAATAGGGATTGGTGAAATGAGATGACTTACGTGTCTGGGCGTGGATATCCGGAACCAGTACAGAAGGAATGAGACCAGTTTGTTGTAACAATCGCTGCACATTTCACGATTCAAGAGCGTAAATGTCGTCAGGAAACAAGAAGAACCAGAAAGACGAGCGTTCGGATCACATAACGATTTTCGAATCTTTATCAGAGAGAGACGAAACAAGAACCTACCTGCAGACATGTGTTGCAGAGGTTATCATCTCGGCATGATTGAGAGGCATTCTTGTACGGTCTGCAGAAGCCATAAGGTTTTATAACTAGGGAAAATATCCACACACAAAAAAAAAATTGTTTCTGTATTTTGTTGTCCAAAAACAAAACTAGGGACAATGAACACCGCCTGATTTCCGGTATCCAAAGATTCCAAACAAACTGTAACCTTGTTCATGGTTCTGTTGGAAAACCAGAAATCAAGTTCGATGTTCATCTGGACACACCACAACACAAGTTCACTGCTTGGACACGGAAAATGAAAAAACGACAGATTCTTTTTTGGACATTGTCCCTAATAAAAATAAAGAATTCATACAATGAAGAAAAAACGAAAAATAAGAAACTTTTCAGGCAGGGGCTGGCTAATTGGTCAGTTCAGCTTAATTATAGATCTATTAAGAGCTCTACGGACAAAACGTGCAATCGAAAAAGACACAAGTAAATGGAGTATTCATAAGATTACCAATCTCTCTGTTGTTCAGTTTCCGGACCCACTCTGCTACAACATCCTGCACCGTTCTTCCCATCCGATCGATGCATCTCAGTGTAATCTACAAAGACAGTGTCAGCAGCACCAAACAATACAAAAAGAAAACAACAGTTTGTTACAGAATAAACTTCCTCACATCTTGCTCATGCCGATTCATTTCGTGGGTTATGAATGGAATCCCTGTGATTGTATGTTCTGAAATCTGCAAACCATAAAAAACGATGTAACCTACTGGATTCTTTTACGACAAGACAAAAAGACTACGAGAAGGCAAAGCAACAGTTACACCCCAAAAACAGTTTCCCATCTAACAATAGGGAAAACAACCTCACATGACTAATACTGAAGTGATAGAATGCCGAATGGAATTCTACCGAAAAAATATCAAAAGAAAGAAAATTTGCCGCTGCTTTATCTGACATCGGCGTAGCATAGACTTTCTTAGGGAAAGGAGACCTCTAATAAGCAATGAATTTTCGATCAAACTTCTGATGTCTTTACTCAATTGGAAGCTCCTCTTACATAGAAGTACAGAAGACTAAAAAAGAACACATTGCAACCAATCAAAAGACATTCCCAAGTTACCGGCCGCTACCTCTCTGTTGCAGCCTTAGCATCTCCTCGTCATCGTTTACACGTGAAATGGAAAAACGTTAAAAAACCAACAGAACTGTTTAATCATAGCTAAACTTACAGGTTTGAAAGCTTCAGGCCGGCAAATCGCAGGTAAATCACCATGGATAACACCTTGCAGCCTCCAGTAAGCACCACAAAATGACCTATCGCATCCCATACCTGTGAACGGCTCGAGTCAAAACACAGTCTACAAATTACAATATCCATTCTTTGGCGAAGTTGCAATCTTTGCAAACTCTCACATATTGGTCCCAAATGATTTTTAAAAAGAAGAAATACAAACACTAGTTCAGAACCAAGGCAACAAACATGAAATAAAGCAAAGCAGTTTGTTGGATACAAATTTCTTCCAAAAACGAAGGAAAGCAACTACAACAACTTAATGTCGTCAAGACAAGAACTAAGTTTACAACCGGTCCTACACATTTCATAGGCAAACTCTGAACAATGCGCAGAAAGAAAAGGCACCGAAATAATTTCGCTTACAATGCTGTGGAACTTGGAGATTGGTTCTAGAGGGCATCATTCCTCCGCACAATTGGCATTGAAGATGGACGGTGTTGGGGTCACAGTGGTAACCACCTATAGAATTAACTGAAAATAAAACCAAAGACGAAACACACAATAACGAACTTTATTTCTGAGTATTGACCTTAGGGATGTCAATAATACCCGAAGCCTGAGACCCAATCCGAACCCGCCTGAAAAAAAATAAGGGCTCAGAACTAAAAATACATGTCCATTAAAGTTTTGGGCTTTCGGGCTTCGGGCCTAATGGACTCTGGGCTGATCGGGCTTACAATTTTATACATACAACACAAGCTGACAGGTGTTACTACGACGAACCACATCAGCCTCCTATAATGTTAATCGTCATTGGAATAACGCCTGTGAATAGAAATTTCACAGTATTTGTGAAATTTGGCTAATTGGTGTATTTTTCGGATAGTTTCAAAATTCATGGATTTTTCATAATATTTTAACAAATTGCTTGTTTATATGAGATTTTCCCTTAAAACATTACCACATTGAGGACATTGTCCATTCTCCATTTCCTCACGTGCAGGGGAAAGCGGCCTTTTCTGACGTTGCTTTCTCTCATTCTGAATAATCTATAACATATACCAACTGAACTATTTAGTAATAGACGGTGGAAATAGATCATGAGTCATGACTAATTGTATTAAAACAACAAGAGAATGTAAAGGCTAGGAAATGTTTCATTATGAAACTTTCATATGAGATGCACCAATGAGCTTTGAAGCAAATTCATGCTAGCAACAAAAGCTGTCCATATTACTAGAAAACGGCTCGCTAACATAAAGAAAAGGGTGACGATTACTTACGAGATTCGATCGTATCGATGCAGACGATTCTAATACTGCAATCTCATCATCTGGACGTTTCAATGAAGGATCAGCTTCTAGTATGTCCTAAACATGGATGTACCCTCAATGTTAAAAATGAAAATGCATAATAACCGACCCAAAAAAAAAAAGAGAAAAAAGTAAAAAGGGAAAAGGGCACTAGCAGCTGAAGAGAATAGAAACATACAAAACCAAAACTAAATGCCTATCCAATAAAGACAAATCAAGTAAACCCTATGTAACATTAACAAACATAGAAAACAAATTGCTGCTGATGCTCACTTCAAATGGTTAAGCCTCAGTAACCTTGTGTAATAGCGATATCAGTAAAAACATAAAAAAAAACCCATAGATTCTATACATCAACTACTGAAGATGTAGTCTTTATGTGGAAAAGACATGCTAGCGCTGGTAGCAGTTATGCAAAAGAAAAATCACATGAACGGTCAATTTCTCTTGTATATAATTGCAAAGGAAAGAACAATGACAAGTAAATAAAGAAACAACTAGCTATCTTGAACGAGGAAATGCTACCTTTCGAATGTTATTTAGAAAATGGTTTCTCCCCACAAATTGTACTACTGCTCTACACTGTGGACACAACACCTTTGAATGTTTTTCCTTTGATCTCCTCAACCATTCTGAAAAACAGCCGTTACTGAAGATAGAACACAATCATCAAATGTTCATCCAGTGAAATCTTATATTTTAAGCTGAAAGCTGTACAAGACCAAGGAACAGCAAACCAGAAATTATGAAGGCAAGGTGCAGCTGTGACGACGTCATGCCATATGTTTAAACAGATACTGCACTTTGCATGCTCAGGGTCTATGGAAATCTGGGTGAAAAACAAAGAATAATGAAATAGAGCTAAAAGATTAATCCTTAGCTTATAAACATATCGGGAAAGAAGGAATGTCCGTGAATATCAGAAACCACCTTCAACAGTTGGTTTCTTGATTCTAAACCAGGCATTGTCGTGAATCTATACCTCAAGTAACCTAGAAAATCAAAAGAACAACGTCAGGGATTTCAACAATGTCAAGAAAAGTATCACCAGCATCAAACTCAACATAAGACGAACTTATCTGTTTTTAAATTTAAATCTGCAGCGTTCTCATTGAAAGCTATATATATTATTTTGTCAAAAGAAACTTTCATATGGGCTATATCTTGACCATCCATATATTGTATTTTGGTGAACATTTCATTAAAATCTTTGAACTTTCCTACAATTTAATCTTATCAGTGGGTATAGAAATGTAGAGCTAAATTCATGTGGAGAAATCTTGGAAGGTTTTTCTAGTATAACCGAACTCCACATGGAAGTGGATTACATTCCAAACCTACGAAAACTACAGAAAACAGGGATCCGAAAACAAATAGGTCAAGACTTGGGAGATACAAATGTCAGCAGATCAGCTAACCTTCTCGGCCAGGGCCAGGAACGATTTCAGATCCACATCTTATTTCAACAGCTCCATCTTTCAGAACAGTAGACTCATCAACAACTATTGCATCCAAACTGTGTGCGCAACACGATTCAGAGAGAAGAAGCAACAAGACGAAACATTACTTTGTTGGTCACAAATAGTCGAGACCGTGATCTCTATTGCGTAAACATTATACATTTACACCTTCTAACAACGAAAGAGGATAAAGGCTTGAAATTTTATTGACCAAAGTATACCAGACAAGAAAGTAAAGACATACAAGTTCATTCAGAGTTAAGCCAGTTGATTGTTACTGGTTTACTCTTGCACCCATATTAATGCCGTTTGCTGTTAAACCATCACACTATACTTAAACACTGATAAAATCCTGCTTCACAAAATTAACAAGGCCTTTGCATATCCGCTGCAAGAAAATGTTTGGACAACCTATGTAACATGCTCAAACATAAGCATCAGAAATTAAAAATACCTTCTATTTTGAATGGTAGCAGACTGCTGATCCAAATTCCTCGTTATTCTGCACCATTCATACTTTTCAACAGAAGACGATTTAATCTCAGAGCATATAACCACATCATTGCATCTTATCTCAATATCTGAGAATCTGGTATCCAGAGGAACTGCAGAAATGAATCAAAATCAAAAATACGAGAAACATAAATCCCAATAAGCCCTAGAAAGAACACTTAAAACCCAACCGAAACATAGATAATACAGAACCGACTAAAGCAGAACTGCCATGGAAGACATAAAGGTGGACAATTTACAAGCAAAAGTGAGAACCCAGGTAACCATATTGCGAATACAAATGGATATAGGGTTTTTTTTTTCCAGATCAAAATCTGAAATTTTTGGTTCGTTTCACCAAAGATAGAGAGAGAGACCGAGTTTGGCCCAGACATCGTCGGAGGGTTTGGAACCAGAGGGTTGACCAGATTCCGTCGTCATTCGATTCTATAGAAAGCAGAATGCCGGTCATACGAGCGCTTAAAGGGTTCACCGAACAACCGAGGAGAAAACGCTACTTTATGAGGAAGACGGGGAAATCACTCGAATACGCGAAGTTTGCCGAAAAGATTATCTTTCACCAAATCATTTTATATAATTTAGATTTAATTATTATAGTTAATTATAGAAAAAATCTCATAAATGAATTTTAAACTAAATAAATATTGAAACTTTTAATTTAATCTAATTAATATCCAAATATTAAAATATTTAAAATTAATATCTCAAATAGATTTTATTTTTTTTGCTCTTTTTGGGGTGTGTATTGATTTGACTATGTCTATAGCTCATTCGCAGTCCAATTCTATAAATAAGAAAATGGAATTAAAATCCTAAAATTATATTAAATTTTAATATGAAGACGGTTCTGTCAGTTTCCTAACATTGTTGAGTAAACAATACCAAAATCATAGCATAACATGAAAGATGAACACGCAATAAAAATTGCAATAGCAAATCTATATATATTAATAAAGACGTTTAAGGTATATGGTAAAGCAGGATCCACATCATCATCTACATGGCAGGTTTTAAATTTATCATCCTCCACATCATCATCCACATCATCATTTACATAGTAATTTTTTGATTTAAAATCTTCACTAATTATATATAATTCATTTATCTTTATTAAATAAAATTAATTTAATCTTAGTTTTATATATTAAAATTTATAATAATTATAATTACGTACATAACATTTTATATGTATATATATTGGCATATCATTATGTTATGATAATTACGTATACACTAAGTAAAAAATTACATAAAAAAGAAAAATGTTAATATATAATATTATAATTAAAATTAAAACAATTAAAAACTTCATCTCAATCTTATATATAAATAATAAGGTTTAAATGGCATTTTGCTTAATTTGTTTTAGTTTAAAAAATAAAATTAGTAACTCTCTCATTAATCATTATTCATTACCGTCAATGAAAATAAAAAACGGTAACATTATTCATTACCCCACTAAATCATAATTATTATTCATTCCCGTCTAAAAATAAAAAACGATCACACTATTCGTTATCCCACAATCACACTAAGCCATGATTATTATTACACTACATGTATGAGTAAGACTTCTCCTTGAACTCCACGCCACTGCTTCTTTGTGGTTTTATCTCCTTCTTCATTGTTGTTGCTCTGCGAAAATATTGGTCCGTCCATTTTGAAAGAGATTGGGGGAGATAAGTTCTTGCCGATTAAACCAAAAAGAAAAATTATTGCGGAACCACGAAGTTCGCATGAACACTGGAATCGAGATACGTTTCTCCGGATCGGTGATGAGAAGCTTCGAGATCAATCTCCGCCCGTATATATGAAGAAACCACATCTCGGATTCGAATTCGGAAGTTGAAGATTTTCGGGTACATATTTATCAGATTCTCATTGTGAAGGTGGTATCGAGTCCTCACCACTTCCCTCCGACGCTCGTTTGTGCGATAAACGAAAGAGACACCAGAGTTTTTACGAGTTCGGTTACCGAGTTACCTCGGGCCTACGTCTCGGCCGGAACGGCGCCGGCGAATCCACTAGAGAACGAAAATACAACAGAGAAGAGAGAACCACGGCGGCCGTCCACACCAAGGTTTGGAGGCTCACCGAGAAACCCAAGAAAGAGAGGTTACAAGACACTCACCGACCTTTACCTTGCTCACCTTTGATGAATCACCGTCGGTCTGAGCTTCGCCGTCGCCGGGAAGCATCACCGTCTTCTTTTTCCCTTGCGATTGCCTCTGCAATCACCCTTTCTCGCTTTCCCTCGAGCACCGTGTTGCGTCCCACCCCAAAGTTACGGAACCCCTTAGGGTTTCATTAACCCGTTGCTCAAAACGCAACGCTTAGCCAAAATGGGCCGCGTTCCTTTCTTCAGCAAAATGGGCCATGGGCCGAGCGAGCAGGCCCAACAATCTCCACCTTGGTGGAGAAAGGAACTTGCAAGGAAATAATAACAAATAAAACACTAGTGGTTCGCCGATTCCGGCACCGATCGACTTTTGTCGACCCTTCGACTTTTGTCGGAATTTAAATGCAAACTTACCTGACTTACCTCACTTACCTGATGTACCGGAGTTAGTCATGTGCCGTCCTGAATCTGATGAAGCTCCCGTCGATGACTCCTCATGGCCTCGTCGCCTTTTCCCGCCACCGATCCTGCTTATCTATACCTGAAACACTCGGTAAACGTGTTAGAACGTTCACCCCGATAAGACTCAAACCGTAGTCCTACCCCGCGTTGCCCGACCGGCGAACGCTACCCTCGATTGTATGACTCCCTAGACCGTCAACTAACCCTCCTAGTAAAGTCCAAGACTATACCCGCTAGCTAACCCGAGGATTACACCCGACGTCTACCCGTCTCCTAAGTCTATCCCGACTTCCCCGAGAGTAACCTGAGTCATACCACCGAAACCGCTAGATACCTAGCCCGGATCCCCGTGAAGTCTATACTACCTATAGGTATACGACTTCTACCCTCGGACCCTAACCTGCCAACTAGAATTGTCCCACGGTTTTGTCCCGTGAAGACGTTCCTAGTCATCTACGATGCTCCACCGAGAATAAAAGACACGTGAATGCACGTGCTCCACCTCGAGAGGGAGTGTCCTAGCGCCAAACTACACCGACTCTACCCGGTGAAAAACCCGACACCTCCCTGCCCACACCATCTCCTGAGCATCCTACCCGAGGAAGCTCCACCTAAATGTGGAGACCTCACCTCCTGACCTACCACCGAGAACCGAAACATCTTCGGTTCCTCCTCCGAGGTCAACACGTCCTTCTACCTCGGACTCTCCCTACCTCGTCATCCGGGACCTACAACACCTTCTTGTAGTATCCCTACCTACCCGCGGAACCACTCACTCCACCTGGTCCTTGGCCTACTCCTGCACCCGATTTCTCGGGTTTGCCCGAGACCCCTAATCCTTCCACCATACCCCCTTTCGGGGTATACCGAGCTAGAATGTCTAACCCCATCATCCTAAGACGATAAAAAAACCTGAGTCTGAAACCGACTCAACCCGGAAGTGACTTACCCGACCCTAGAAGTGATGTAACATGACATGGGGGATGAGACCGAACCCTAGAGGACTTAACCCTAGGTATATTTCTACCTAGCCGTGCTTAAACACGTTCTAACCCTAGTCTATCGGTCCTAAACCTAGGTACGTCTCTACCTAATCAGACTTACTAGACTAAGAGAACACAACCTAACGGGACTTAACCTAGGTACTTGACCTAAACCGATCTAACGGACTCTAACCCAAACCTAACCGGACTTCACCCTAGGTACATCTTACCTAAATGGATCTAATACACTCTAGACTAGACCTGATTGAACTTAACACAAGGTATATTTCTATCTAACCGACCGCTTAGACTTTCGCACAAACCTGATTGGACTTACCCTAGGTATATTTTACCTAACCGACCTATTAGACTCACAACGCAGCCTACCTTAAGACCTGATTACGTCTAACCAGACCTAATTTAAGGCTAACCGGACCTGATTACGTCTAATCAGACTTATAACACCGAGTTTACATGGCCCCCAACAAAGTCCTAACCAGTCCTACGATCCCGAGTCTACCTAGTCCCTCACAAAGTCCTAAGTCAAACCTACCCAAGTAATATCTAGACCCTAACAGCCCTAGTTAGATGACCAAAAGTCCCGACTAGACCACCACAACACCCTAATCAGACTTAAGCCAACCCTAATTGACCAACCCCTGATTAGATGACCATAAGTCCTAGCTAGACACCTAAAAGTCCTAATCACCAAACCTAAGCTAACCCTAATGACTTACCAACCCCTGATTAGACTTTTAGCACACTAATCAGACCTAAACTAAGCCTAATTGACCTAATTTAATTCTGATCAGACCCTATATATGCCTAAAACCAACTCCTACAGACCTGCCCTGATCTAAACCGACTCCTACAGATCTATACCTAGTGATCCTAGACATAACCAACCCCTAAACCAACCCGTTTTAGTCAAATCCCAACTAATCAGACCTAACCGGTCAATGTACCGGACTCTATGACTCAAAACTGGTACTTAGGAGTCCTATATAGTCCTAAACTAAATAATACCTAAGTCTACAATCAGATTCTAATCTGATCAGATCTAGACAATGTCTCTATAGATATTCTAAACCTCTAATCAGACCTAACCAAGCCTATTTTGACTTAATTACCTACTCATCAGACCTAGACTAAGCTAGACTAACCCAAATTTGGCTAAACCAGACCTAACCGAGACCCAAAAACAGCCCTTACAGATCTATACCGACCTAAACCAGTCAATCTCAGACCTATACCAGCCTATTTTAGTCTACCCAGACCTCTTACCCAGCTAAACGTCATCAAATTCAACCTATTCAGACCTATACTGAACAGAAAAACAGGAATCTATGACTCACATCAGCTAAACCGAGATCTAAACAGGTCTATCCTTAGTATATTTCACTACAGACCCTAATCTACCCTAAACCAGTCCACTATGCCCTAAACCAGACACCATCAGACCTAATTTTGGATCATCCTAACCCTAAACCAGTTAGTTCTAGTCCTAATTATACACTCCAGACCTAAACCGCCTAATCTAGTCCTAAAGAACCACAACTCAGGCCCTAACACGACCAATAACAGCCCTAACTAGATAAATCAGACTCTAAACAGACTTCTACCAGCCTAAAACAATCTGATATTAGCTAATACCGGACCCAATTGACCTGTACGGTCTAATTCTAGCCTAATTGGACGAACAGACCCTCACATTAGACCTAACCAGTCTAAACCGGCCTTAATTCACCTCCAATCAGACCCTATTGGTCTGAACCGAACAATTCTAGCCCTTCCCAAACAAATCAGACCCTAACCAAGACTTAAACCAGCCTAAACTAGTCTGAATTGCCCACTGAATTGCCCACCTAAACCGGACCCGAATCGACCTAAACCGGACCTAGATTGACCTGAACCGGTCTAAACCGGTCCAATTGACCCCAAACCGGACCTGAACCGGTCCGATTTGACCTAAACCGGTCAACTGTTGACCAAATTGGTCAACGAATTGACCGAACCGGAGTGAACCAGTCTGAACCGGCCGGAACCGGGTCTGAGCCGGACTGAACCGGCCGGAATCCGGTCTGAACCGACAGAACCGGGTCAAACCCGATCTGACCGCCGATAACCGGACTTGGATCGAATCGAACCAGGTTTGATTGACCCAAATCGGGTTTAACCGAAATTGGATCGATTAAACCGGTCTGAACCGGATTTAATTCGAAACCCTAATTTTGGAAACCCTAGCCGCCGAGTCACCCGAGTTGACTCGGTCGTTGACTCACCCGATCCCTCCACTCAGCCCTAACTCGGACGAGTTCGGACCGAGTTTCGCCGGAATCGAGCATTTCTCCGCCGAGTTCACCGAGTTTCCTTTGAAACTCGGACTCAAATCGGAGAAATCGCGGAAAAATAATAAAACCGAGTCAGAAAACCTTACCTGACTCACCGGGTTCGAATCTGGTTCACCGAGTTTTTGCCTCCGATGACTCACCTCGACGGATCTGAATGTCGGCGACCCCGGGGATGTTAACTCTAACTCCCACCATCGTCGATCCACCTCCGTCTCCGTCTGAAACACTTGACAGAAGAATCAAGACGCTCACACAGCCGAGATTCGAACCGGAAATACCTTACCTCGCCTGACCGGCGAACCTTACCTCCCTGGATCGTAACCGGGCTCTGATACCACTTTGTGAAGGTGGTATCGAGTCCTCACCACTTCCATCCGACGCTCGTTTGTGCGATAAACGAAAGAGACACCGGAGTTTTTACGAGTTCGGTTACCGAGTTACCTCGGGCCTACGTCTCGGCCGGAACGGCGCCGGCGAATCCACTAGAGAACGAAAATACAACAGAGAAGAGAGAACCACGGCGGCCGTCCACACCAAGGTTTGGAGGCTCACCGAGAAACCCAAGAAAGAGAGGTTACAAGACACTCACCGACCTTTACCTTGCTCACCTTTGATGAATCACCGTCGGTCTGAGCTTCGCCGTCGCCGGGAAGCATCACCGTCTTCTTTTCCCTTGCGATTGCCTCTGCAATCGCCCTTTCTCGCTTCCTCTCGAGCACCGTGTTGCGTCCCACCCCAAAGTGACGGAACCCCTTAGGGTTTCATTAACCCGTTGCTCAAAACGCAACGCTTAGCCAAAATGGGCCGCGTTCCTTTCTTCAGCAAAATGGGCCATGGGCCGAGCGAGCGGGCCCAACACTCATCTTGAAACGAGAGAAATCCGGTGGGGACATTATGCAATTTTATGTAAGATTTTATAAAATTAATAAATAAATTATTATTTTTTTTGCATAAATGGGGTCTATGACTCCATTAATATACAAATAGGTTTGTCGAGTAACACGTCTCAGAGCTCCATTACATTAACCATCGATGACAGCAACAACGACAATGGCAATGGCAATGAGAGTGACAATGATAAGAACAATGGCGGGGAGATCCGCCATGAAAGTACTTGCAGAAGGTCGAAGCTCTTCGGTGTTTACATACTCTTGATGAAGAAGAGATCGCGTCAGTCGGATCATTTAAGGGTTGACCAAACGAGAAAATCTCGCTTGGTTTTGGAGAAATCCGATCTTGGTTTGAATCTCATGACATGATGTTGATGAGTTCATTATCAGTCACTTAATTACCTTTTTTTTTTTAACTTATAATCATCAATATTGTTGAAGGTTATGATCATATGATATAATGGATCATAATATTCAAGCCAATAGAATCAATTGTTTTTTTTTTTGGTAAGTTAGTAGAATACATCGTTGCACTAATGATAGTATTATTTAGTGAGTAAAAAAAACATAATGCTAGGGCAGATTTAAGGCCAAAGCTAAAGAATCACTTAGAAATGATTCTGACCCGAAAGTTCATTAACCTAATCTCTCTGATTCTCCTCTGATTTTTATCGGTTAACATTTGTTTGTTAGTTATCATCTCCATCATCAGTTTTATCGAGAAAAACTATGTCGGTAATATTGTTACTATTCTTTTTGTTTGTTTTTCTCTCTCTTTTGCCAATATCTAATTTAGGTTTTTTTAATTTATAAAATATGATCAGCAAAAAAATCAGGAACAAAAACGGACAAAATCACCGATCTCTTCTCATAAAGAATGAAAAAAATATGATATTTTTTGTTGTATTTTCAACCAAAGTTTAAAAAACTGAATCTTTAGATTCCGTCAATTCACAATGAAGAAATAAAGAAAAACCATAAACATGGAATGGACATAAAATTTCATAAGATTGTGGACATTGGTTGCGAGACCAGAGACCAGAGACGATGATGAAGAATTGGTCATAGATCTTGTAGATTATTTGGAGATCGATAGTGATGATATGTAATTGAACACCGAATCTCTGGTCATTGGCGATGGCGAAGCTGTTATTCCCGACCATAGACACAAGGACTCTTCCATTGTATTTGAATATCTCTATATATATCTATATATATCTGTATTTTATTATTTTATTTTTTTAGTATATTTATACATATTATATTTAAATTTCTGTTTTTAAAATTCAACTAATCAATAAATTTTATGATATATAAGTAATTTTGAAAAGTTATACTGCTTATATATATATATATATATATATATTTGTGTATGTATATATATGTATATATGTATTTTATATTATATTTTTATTTTTCTAAAACTCAAGTTAATCAATAAATTACATGAACCTTTAAGTATTTTTAAATTAATTATGCATGTATATATGTATATATATACATGCATATATATATATATATATGTATATGAATATATATATATATATATATAGATTTATTTATTAAATTTAGAAAAAAACCCTTATAAATATATCAATTTTACCAAATATACCAAATAAATACCTAATATTGAAATAATTTAAATACATACTCTAACTTACGAAATCAATAACAATTTACAACTTTGATTCGTATGAATGTTGAATATAATGTTTAAATTTTACATCATTGTTAGAATCAATACTAACAATCGTTGTTATTTTCTTGAATTCCTTTTTTTTATGTTAAAAATTAACATCTACTTCATACGTGGTCATCAGAGTCGATGATATGAAAAATTTAACATAAAACTGAATGATAAAATTTTAAAATACTATAGAAAAATAATTGGTAAGAGAAGTTTTGACAAACTTAATCATATTTTCATACAATTTATTATTATTGTAAATAAAAAATTAATAAAATGTTTTATAGACGTAATAAAATTCAAATTTATGTTCAATCATTCAAATCGATATACATATATACATCTATATGTATATGTATATTTATATAATCTCGGACATACGTATGAAAAAATTATGTATATATTCTATGTTTATAAATACATATATATATATATATATGTATATATATGTATAACTATGCATACATATATAACAATAATAACATTTAGAAAAAATCATTCATATCGACTTTATATAATGTATATATAATATACTAATATTTACTTATTTTTAATTTTTTAAAATATATAATTTCATAATAATTTCTAATTTTAATAAATAAAAAATTAAGGCATATGATATTATTCTAAATTTATAACAACAAACATTATAATTAAAATAATCAAAAAAATAAATAAACCGCGCATCGCGCGGGTCTTTATCTAGTATAAAATGAAGGAAATGTATGTAATGTAATTACAAGTAAAGTATATTAGTATTACATAACTTTCGGTGATTAAAAAAAATCGGGAATTATCTATCTATTTATTTGATGAAGTGTCAAAAAATTTAATTCAATTTATAATTCGGATAGACAAGGGACAAGAGGAACACTGCCTAGACTTGTTCCATTCACGTTTTGACACGTGGCTGTGGGTAGTTTCCCATCAGCTGTAGTAATTTGGACTTTTTCCACCGTGATATCACTGCAACGAGTGATTTTACTGCAGTTAAATTTTATAGCTTCTTCATCCGACGTCGTTCCTTCAAAATCTATGAACTTCACATGGCTTATTGCTACTGCTGAATTCTGTAAAAAAAAAACATATATATATATATATATATAATGATTTTTTAGCAATAAAATAATAGTATAACTATTAACACAAAAACTAAATGTTTTGTGTTTACCCCTTCAGAAGCCTGTCCACTTTGGTTATCATTGGTATAATATTGGTCAATAATAATTGGATTTCTTGCATTTATTACTGTTATGCGCTTGAAATGAATGTTCCTCGCATATCCTTGTCCCCCCTGAACATTATTATAAAAATTATTATTATTATTATTATTATTATTATTATTATTATTATTATTATTATTATTATTATTATTATTATTATTATTATTATTATTATAAAAATTATTATTATTATTGGCAAGCAAGAAATACCGGCCAAGTCTTGATCCTAGCTCCATTGGTGGTCCTGTTGAAGGTACAATCCACTACCTGAACATTTTCTACGGTCTCTTTGAATCCTTTGGCTCCCAGGCTTCCCACGCTGTTATCAATGATTCCATTTTTTTAGGCATAATAATATTACAAATATATGGAAAATGAATACTTCCAATTTTAACCCAAACGAACACTGTTAATTTTTTTTATTTTTTTTTTTGAGTTAATGAAAGAGTTCTCTTTTAGTAAGGTATCACTGTTTAATTTGTTGTAATAAAACCTGAACGAAAAAGTAATATATAATTGTACCTAATAAATTCATTGTAAAAATTTGACTGAATATAATTTCTTTTAAATCAAATTAAATCATTTAAATTTTTTCAATGAAATCAGTATTTTTTAAATGAAAATAGAATATCAAAACGGAACGGGTATGGATTTTCTAAAGATGAAAAAATAGAATAACAAATGGAGGAAACAAAACCAAATTGGAAATCGAATATGTTTCCATAACTTTTAGTACCATAAGGCTTATTAAGTTAACTTTTTTTGTTACAAAGTTTTTCCATGTACACAATTCAAGACTTTCGTTGCACTCAAAATAAAATTTTGTTGAAATTTTTTTCCGAATTCTATAGAAATAAAATTTAAAAAAACAAATGGTATGATTTGGTTTGGTGATGGTGATGATGATGATGATGATGAGTACCTTATTCCATGACCAGGGCCGCAATTCACTCCTGTAATATTGATATTGGCACATCCAGTATTTATAGCAATGCAATCATCCCCTGATCAAACCACGAATCATATATACATATAATATTAAACAATAAATAAAAACCATAATGTATATACACACATACACAAAATGTGTGTATGTACCAGTTCCGATGTAAGAGTTGACGATGTTGATATAAGATGACGCAGAGATATCGATGCCATCAGTGTTTGGACTGTCCTCCGGCGCAAGCAGGTTTACATCCGATATCGTCACCTGCTCGCACCCACTTATGGATATATGATTTCTTGGACTGTTGGCCGATGTCATTCCGCTTATATTCAGGTTGTTACACGATTGAAAATGCAATGACTACAAAAACAAGAGTAACGTTATTAAAATTCCATGTACAAATATTCAATACGAGAAGATTATATATAAGATGAGATGTATCCTATTTTATAAAAATTAATAAATAATGGAATACTCACCGTAGGCCAATCGCATCCTCCTAAATTCCCCTGAGGAAAAGAGGGCTTTCTTTCATGAGTTCTTGATCGTGCATATGTGTATATATATAGAGAGAGATTATGGTTTAGGGAATGTATTTGTATAAACACCTGGTTAGGGTTGTTCCAGAAGGAGGAACCACGACCGTCGATCCTCCTGGTTTTAGATCCAACGACGGTGAGTCCGGACACCCAAGAGAAACCTATCCACCTATTGGATGAACATGACGACCATTCCCCTTTGTCATTCGGAGCAACGATGTTACCACTGAACTGCAAGCATATATCATCAGATAGTTAATTTAGTTAGAGAGAGAGAGAGGGGGAGAGAGAGAGAGAGAGAGAGGGAGAGAGCTTTACCTGGACTTGCATGTACGGAGATCTGCAAGGGCCTTGGAACACAAGTGGTTGAAGTAAGAATGTATTGTCCGAAGGTATTAGGAGGGTTTGCTCGTTACCGCCGCCACCGCACGCAGCGTTCCATGCTTTCAAAAACGCCTATAAACACCCATGAGTTGTGTTCATAAATCAAAAGATAAACAATAATAACTTAGGAAAACAATTAATGGCCAAAACAAAGTTAATAGTTAAAAAAATAAGATACCTGAATCGATTTATTTACTTCGAAAATATATACCTTTGTTTCCTTGATTAATGTTGGGTATTTTATGTATATTTTAATCATACGGTTCCTTATATTTAGGAATATTCTATGTGCAATTAATTATCTAAAATGAATCAACATATATATATTTACCTCAGAATCATCGGTTACACCATCACCCTTAGCTCCAAAACTAAGCACGTTGAAATTTTGGCAGTTTGCAAAGCCAAAGGCAACGCAAGTGACCACAAGTACCGCATAACGCAGCCTTTCCTACAACACAAGAAATTAGAACCAAAAAAAAAAATCGAAAATATTTATAAAAAAAAATAAGTGCTTACCATTGCATGAAGTAGAGTGACTAGAGTCTGTGTTCGTCACACACACACACACACATATATACACATAAATGTATATGCACACTTATATATGTACATATTGATGAATTTAAAGGGATGCCATGTATTTACAAATTAGTACACGTTTTTAGATATCGCGATTTTATTTGACATAAAACAAATGAAAACTAGATTCTGTGATGTCACGAAATTATGACATAAAAGCATATTTTGATGTAATTTGTTTTGTATGTAAATTTGGTATTATATTTCAGATTGTCTTTGTGCTCATAAATTTTTAGTTTGATGGTTTACGTTAACTACTTGTTTCATTGTTTAGATGCCACCCCAGTGTGTTTTATATAATTTTATCGTCATTATATAAATATTATATCAATCAATTAGTGAATATAATTAAAGACTAATTTTGGTCTCTTTCAATCCACACAATTCACTAAAATTTTCTTATTATTATATTATACTGAAAGTACAATGCAATATATTCATATGAGTACCCACATGTCTGTGGTCGAGTGGTATCTGGACTTAGGGGTGTCAAAACGAGCCCGGCTCGTGAGCTGGCTCGTGGCTCGCCAGAAAACGAGCGATCTGAGCCGTAATTTTTTCAGGTCGTTAAAAAACGAGCCTAACGAGCCAGAGCTCATTGAACACGTGTTCAATGAGTCTGGCTCGGCGAGCTGTCGAGCTGCTCAATGAGCTGATATTTTTTTAAAAAATAAATTAAATTTATATAAAAAAACTCTAATATAATTTTATATTAATTTTTTTCATATTATTTATATGATATTATAAATATACTAATTATTATGATGGTGATAATTGAAAATATTAAATGATATAGATGTTTTAATAAATTTTTATGTATTTATTTAAATTTATAATTATATTTAAAATAAATATAAATAAAAAATATTATATATCCTTGGCTCAACGAGCCGGCTCGTTCAGATCGGAAAATTGACGAGCGATCTGAGTCGAGGTTTTTCTGGCTCGTTAGAAAACGAGCCTAACGAGCTGAGCCCAAAACGATCCGAGCCAAATGAGCCGAGCCAAAAATGATCCGAGTTGGCTCGTTTGACACCCCTATCTGGACTGGAAGTGAGGGTGTTCCTCCTCCAAGTCAGGGGTTTGAATCCAGGCATGCGGGGAGGGAGAGGCATAGCCAAAGGCTGTGTGTTCAAAGGCTACTCCCGGGCCCAAAGAGATGTAGGTTGGGCCGAATGCGCATGTGAACTTCCTGATTTGACAAAAAAAAAATAATATATATATATATTCATATGAGAACGCAATTTTCCAAATTGTATGTATCACAAAAAAAATTCCATTAATTTGAATACACAATGAAATAAATTGGGAAATACGTATATCACTACTTTTTTTGTTTCTATCGTACAAAATATATTAGAGAAATTGACAAATTAGTCACACTGAAGATAGGTTCCGAGAGAATTGAGAGCTCATCCCCCATAAAAACATTATTTTAATATGAACAAATTCTCTTTCAAAATATATATCATAAATAATATTTTACTTATAAGTTAATATAAATCATATAATTTTCATATTAGTAACATTGAGAAAAGGTTTTTTGATGACATCGATAAACAAACAATAAATATTGGGCGACGCAGTCATAAAAGTTTTGAGTCAGGAAAATTCAGTTAAAAATGATAGTCTAGTTATTTATTTATTTTATTTTATTAGATTTAGTTTTACTTGTTTGAATAACAAATTATTAGTACTATGTTCAATGGTATAAATTATATAGGAAATAAAACGGTGAGAGAAAAAAAATTCAAATACGGACCAAACTAGAGGGAATATTCACTTTTTTTCTAATTTTTATTTTTCCACGAGAAAAATTATTGCTTTTAATTTTTTTTGTTTTCTTTTGGACTACACAATAATCACGTGCTTGTTTTATTGGAAATGACAAATGGAGATGTATGGTAAAGAAAAAAAGAGAGAAAGTGTACAGAAAATTTGGTCACATATGCCAAAATTTCTTTTTAGCACATTCTGTTTTGAATTTTTTAATATTAACACCAAATAATTAAAAAAGTATAAAAATTTAAAGAAAAAACCCGATATAATATTTTAACTGTCTAAAACTGCGTGAACGCTATACAAATGTAGAGTTATAAAAAAAATTGCCCCGTCATAAAAAAATTTAGTATGTCACATCAAATAGGGAACATTTTATAAAAATACCCCATATCATTAAAATTTCATATCAATACTCTAATTAATAATTGGATTAATTAATATCTAAATTTGTAAATCTTTGCCAAATCGATCTCATCATCTAACAATGTTAATTTTCTGGCTCCTTACGCCTTGTCATCATATATCTAAACAAATCGATGTAAATGAAATCTGTTTACAATTAAGCCAATTGGTTCCTAAAATTAAAACGAAAACCTAAAAAGTTCTTAGCATTCTATGGGACGAATCCGTTGGAAATGACCGAAAATCCATTGAAAATTATGATTTCCAACTGATTTCTAACGGATTTTTCCGATGAAAAAACGTCGTTGGAAATTCATTTCCGTAGAATGCATGATGAAATTTTCAACAAATTTTTCTATTGGAAATTCCAACCGATATCCGTTGAAATTTTGAAATTTAGTTGTTTCAACTAAATTTCAACGGATTTTCCCATTAAATTTTCAACCGATATCGGTTGGAATTTTCAACAGATATCCGTTGGTTGAAATTTTCAAACGATATCCGTTGAAATGTTCAACCGAAAAATTCAAAACATATTTCTCGATCCCGAACTCAATTCTATATCTGATTTCGACCCCGACTTAACCTCGAACTCAATCTTAGCAATCAATCTCGACTCTTCGGAAATGCCTACATATAACCTTCCGATCTCTCTAATTCCGGAGGCGAACTAGAATTTTTTGGCAAGGGTAGTTTTTGGTTGGGAGGTTGGATACGAAGGAGGGAGGATATATCTCTTGTGTATAATCAAATCAAGGGTTTCTCCGCCAAGAAAGATTAGAGAAACAATTTTTCATCATCTTTTTTTTTTTTTTGGTGTAAAATTTTTCATCATCTTGAATGCAAAAGGCAACAAATTTCACGTCGAAAGCAATTTATTCAGTTCTAGAAGATCCGTCACAATGAAGCAACAACAGAGACACTTCTACTGAGAGAACCGAACAAGAACGCAAAGACCGCATCTCGTATCTCCAAGATCAAAATAAATTATTTTCAATTTTCATAAGAATTAATCAACCCAAAAGGTGTTTTTTTAGCCCAACGGATTTCGTACGCTCATACAAAACGAAGGCCCAAATGTGGTTAAAATACAAAATAAGGCCCAATAATGGCCCATAATTTACCCAAACGAAGAGGAGGAAAAATTAGGGTTTACAGAGAGAGAGAGCCCCTAACCCCCCCTCTATATATAAACAAAGCCGCCTTGGCTTCTCCGTTGATCGATCGTCTTAGTGGCCATCCGCTTCCTCTCTCTGTTCCTGGGATCTTTTTTCTGGGGGGGATATGAATTTAATTTTTATGGTTTTGTTTTTGGGTAAAATAAATCAATAATGTTGATGAGATAATAAGATTAAATTTAGGGTTAAATTGGTTTTTAAAATTCGGTATATGTCAAACCGATTTCAATTAAATTTGAACTGATTAAAACTAAATTTGGTTTGGTGACTTGGCAAATTTTTTTTGACGGGTGGCAAGAAAAATAGTTTGATTGTGTAAATAAAAGGGTCAGATTAACGCCGTTTCTTCCTGGTATTGATTTGGAACAAGTTTTCAATTTGGGGAATATATTTGACCAATTTTTGATTGGGGATTTTTTTGTGGTACATTTTTGTAAGTTGGGGAATTTTTAAGGTGAGGGCAGACAAACCTAAGAAAATCTTGTTTATCCTTGTAGAATGGAACTAAAATAATATTATTATTTAAAAGTAAAAATAAAAATGTAAAATACTCATTAATCGTTTAAAAGGTAAAGTGTATAGGGTATGGGGGTCATGTGTAATTGGCTAACATTCCACCGATGGAACTGAGTGCTGACAAGCAACTCGAGCATTGTTACAGACAGCTTCGATCCCTTTTCCTCGAACTGCAGATTTGATGTTCACTTGCTCCAAGGCAACGTTGTCGCATCCGCAAACGCTGCTGCAATTCAATTTTATCGCTTCCTTGCTCATTGAAGTCCCATTAAAGCCTATAAACCTCACGTCCCTTATCTCTACTGCTGAGTTCTGCATGCATGCATTTGTCATGTACCAACAGATTCAGGCACTTATATATTAATAAGAGTATTATTTTAACACATGTATCGGGAGTTTACGGGTAGAAGGAGACACGTATAAGAAACTTACCCCTCCCTTACAATTAGGGTAACAATGGCCGTAGAATTGATCGATTATAATCGGGTTTTTAGCTTCAATCAATGTGATTTGCTCGAATGTTATATTCTTGACATAACCTGACCCTCCCTGCATATGTTATATTCTTTTGTTACGTTATATGTGTATATATATAGAGAGAAAAACATGTATATCAAAGCATGCGTATATAAAAATATTACAGGCCATGTCTTGATTCTTGCTCCATTATCAGTTCTGTTGAAGGTACAATTCTGAACTCGAACTTGTTCGACTGTCTCCCTCTTTCCATTGCGACCTAGACTCCCGATACTGTCATATATATATGTATGTGAATATATGTCTTGTCATGTTCAAATTTTAAAAAATGTGTAATATGGTAATATCTTTTGTGTATAAATGTATATGCAAGTTCTTAATACAAATCTGACAAACCTAAGTCCATGGCCGGGACCGCAATTAACATTTCTAATGATGATGCCGACAGAACCTCCATTTACAGCAACACAATCATCGCCTGCATGAAATTATATATCAATATGTACCTGGAATCATATATAAAATATGAAAGTGGATTAAGGTTTTGATATCGTAATTAAAATTACCGGTTCCAATGTATGAATCGGTTATATTGATTTGGTTCGATCCAGAGATATCGATTCCATCGGTGTTGGGGCTTTCTTCGGGTGCAATCAGATTCACGTTGGATATCGATGCTCGATTGCAACCGGTAATACTAATGTGATTTCTTGGACTGTTTATTGAAGTGAATCCCTTCACTTGAAGATTGTTGCAACTTTGGAAACACAATGACTGCAATAGATGTTATCAAAGATGGTTAATAGTTGGAAACATGTCCAAATAAATATCTTGTACTATAAGTTAAACCGGGACAAGTTGCAAAGAGTGATTAGAGATCAATTTTATTATATATATATATATATAAATAATATACTATTACACTTACCGTTGGTCTGTTTGTATCGTCTTTGGGCTTTGCCTACAACATTTTGAAAAGAAATTTCAATGAATGATTAGATAATTGAACAATTAATTAATTAAATAAATATTCAGAACTTAAGAGGAAGTTGTCGAATAATTAATTAAAATGCTCGCATCAATTCATATGTAAAACAAAAACGAAAAGGGAGAGAATAATCGTGTGCGGAGAGCGGTACGTACAGCTTTCCACCAAGGCTCACCACGACCGTCGATTGTTCCAGATCCTTTAAAAAGAAGGTCATCCACTCCTCGGAATATGATCCATTTATCCTTTTGATCCCCTAACCATCCACTTGATTCAGGCCCAACAAGATTCCCTAACAACTGTATCCACACATATAATAATATATTTGTTCATATATATATAAACAATGTATATACATACATATACATACATATATATATATATACATATGGTATGTATGTGTAGATAAGTTGGATGCATAGATACCTGAACTTGAATGGTGGATTTGCAGGGACCATTGAAGGCAAGAGGTTGGAGGAGAAAATTTTTCCCATGGGGAATTTGCAAAGTTTGAGGGTCATTTGCTCCACATACCTTTTCCCATGCTTTTAGGAATGCCTTCAACCATATAACCACAATTTATTTTGTGATTTTTATAGAAAGTCGCATATCAAAATATTACAAGAATAAAAAAAATCTACATATTTGGATTAGGTTATATTTACTCGTTTATTTTTCAAATATAATAATAGATAAAAAAAATTTCTAATTGAGCGATTAATTTTAAAAAACTCCACTTAAAGAGAGAAATAAATTATTAATAATTTTATTATATATACATATATCGAATTTACCTTTGAATCATCGGTTTTACCATCTCCAATCGCACCAAACTTAGTCACGTCAGCACTATTTCCGAATTCCAATAATCCAACACAGATTATTAGAAAACCAAATAACAATTCCTGAATCAATGAATAAATTAATATAAATATAATGTGGAAAACAAAAGTTTAATAAATTTTGTAAAACAAATAACTTTACTACGAAAAACATAAATCATCTTCACCATTTTGTAAGGTAGAAGCAAAGAAGAACTAAATATATTTTACTTTTGTTCATTTTATGTGAATGAGTTTGGGCTATATATATATACACATGGATATACAATTAAAACATTCATGATAACAATGCAAGAGTGATTTATGTTTGTGGATCTTATTCTTCATGAATCTATAGATTATGTTTTATTATTTAATGTATTTTAGATATTTAGCCATATAAAATATCGCAAATATGATATTATACAATTGATATTCATGAATTACTTTTCTTTGAATCTATTCAATGGTTATGTACTTGAAAATTTATATCTATTTCTGGATAACATATTTTGTAGAATAATTATCTTTATTTGACACAAATATGTGTGAATGAGTAATAAGCATTGAGTATTGATTTTTTCCTTATATTTATTAAATCTCGTTAAATATAATTTATTATAAAAACATACCGTCAAAAAGGAATATATCCGATTTATTTTCATTTTTTCTCCTAGTTATAAAATGATCTTGATTCATATATCTTTTTTTTCCTTAGACGTAGGTAGATGAAAATATCAAATATCTTTCCAATCGGAATAATTGGTCACGAAAACAATTAAAACATTATAACAATCAAATCAAATAGATTTACTGTTATATTTTCGATGTTATAATCTATGAACCGTGATAAAATATAGGTAAAATATATAAATCTTGTTATATAGTCATTTACAAACATGTAAGGATATATATATATATATATATATATATATATGTATGTGTATATATATATATATAGTTAAAATGCACCTTTGATACATTTAAAAAAGAAAGAGTTCCGTAGAAGCTGATTGATTATTATAATTTTATTATCGATGGATCAAATCAACATTAAATAATAATAAAAAAAAGGAGAAATCAAATATCACATGAAGAACTCATCATCGTCATCATCATCTTGATAGGAAGGTGATGGTGAAGGAGGTTGATGAAAACATGGAACATCGGAAGGGGAGATAAGACCAGAAGCTGTTCCACGAGCATTGTTACAAGAAACCCTAATGTCTTTGTCAGTGTAAGAAGACGAAGGAGACAATGTGATATTGATGTGTTCTATGTGAATATCCGAACATATCTTAGTCTTACTGCAATCCAATGTTATTGCTTCTACTGTTGCTGTCGTTCCATGGAATCCCCTAAACGTCACATTGCTCACTTCCACTGCTTTTCCCTGTTGTTATACAATATATACGAAATTAAATTAAATCCCGTAAATTTAACATAATTTTCAAACTATATGATTAACTTATTATTCTTCAAAATCGAGTACGGCTTATCATCATCATGATTTATGATCACTTTCATCTTCAACCATCATCGTATTTTTGCGAAAACTAACAAAATCTCAAATGCAAAGAATGTAACCAGATTCTAATCATACGAGATATTTTATTTCTGTTCTTGTAAATAAAATCATTAGGTCTTGTTATCTTACACAATCCGAAAAAAAAAGAAAGTAAATGAAATGATATATAGATAGATATATATATATATATGTATGTACCTTTTCAGGACAAATGTGAGGACCATTGCAATAATGTTGGTCAATGATTATGGGATTCCCAGAATTTGATAATGTGATGTCCTCGAACAGTATGTTCCTCGCATACCCTGCTCCTCCCTAATCCTCAAAAAAAAAATATTATGTATATGTATATTCAGACAATTTAATACGTGATTTTTTTCGGTTATTAGGGTTAAATATATATATAGAAGAGATAATTAAATATTATTACTTAAAAATTCATTCCATATATTTTGACTACAGTTTTATTAAAGTAAATATATAACAGACAAATAAATAAAATAAATAAATACCGCCCAAGTCTTGACCCTTGCACCGTTGAGGGTGTTGGTGAAGCTACAGCTCCGTACGTGTACGTATTCTACGGTCTCGAAGGATCCACCTACTCCTAGACTTCCCACACTGCAGGAACTCAAATATTAACCAAGCAATATAAATAATATATATAGACGCGAATCAAAATATGTCATTAAAACATCAAAAATCAAATACTTAGGACGATTATTATATCTTGACACTTTGTTAATGAAATTAAATTACCTGATCCCATGACCTGGTCCACATTTTACATCCATGGCATTTATATTGTAGGATCCGTTCTTGATCGAAATGCAATCGTCACCTACCCCACCCAAAACATTACCATAAATCCCCAACATATAAAAGAACGTACGTACGTACGTACGTATGTATGTATGTATGTACGAAATTAGTTACCGGTAGCGATGGAAGATTTTAAGACAGATACATGTTTGGACAGAGCAATGATGACACCGTCGGTGTTTGGACTGTCTTTAGGGGCAATAATATTGACGTTAGATATGGTTGCGTTATTGCAATTTTCCACTTCAATGTGAGACCGCGGACTGTTCATGTGTGTTGTCCCATTTATTTCAAGGTTTTTGCACCCGTGGAATCCAAGTGCCTACGCAATTTTATTCAACATAAAAAAAAAAATTAGTCATCTGCATATATAACCTATGATCTTGAACAAAATATCCGTCGCAACGAGATTTCATTCTATGAAATGTATTATAATTAATGTAAGAATCGCTTTCTGAATTAATTTAGTTTTTTTTTTATGAAACGTCGCCAATATGACTTTTTGAAACTATTTAAAGCCTAATTGTTTTAATCAGTGCCAATATAAATTGCACCGAAAAAATATTGCATTACTAGTACAGTTGCAAACGTTAATATTTTTTATCCACATACGGTATTATATATATATATATATATGTATACATATAGGTCTGAAAACTTTCGGAAAGTCAAAGTGCGGGTGACAAAATGGTAAGGGGGAGGTTCACAGTGCCATACTACCCGAATTCGAGCGATCCATCTTGAATTACTCTTTACCAAAAAAAAACTTTCGGGGAAGAGTTTGGTTTAGTATAGGTAAGTTAAAACCAAACCTGTTAACTGCAAGATTATCTTAAGAAGAGAACACAAAAACAAAAGACAAAACACTTACTGATGGTCGGTCTCCGGCAGCAGCCCCTTTGCCCCACCAAGCTTCACCTTTGCCATCAAATGTTCCCATTCCGTTGATGGAGAGATTGTTGACGTAAATGAAACATAACCAGCAACCGTCCGCCGTCTTATGTGGTTCTCCCGGTGCAATAATCTTTCCTTCTATCTGCTCGAGTTCCATTTCCATGATTACAACACAATTTATATATATATATATAATATGCATCCTATAAAAAAATTAGTATTATATAATCTGTTATAACTATGGATTAGGGTTTCGGAATATATATATCCACATTTCACTGGATCTTTTTCAGATCCGTGGAATTAGAATAGGTTTGTTTTGAGTTTTATCAATATTATACCAACGATTTCCATTAATTTTATATATCGGATTAAAAGTATTCAAACCGTATTAATTTGTGCCAAAGGTGAAACCCCTATTATCATAAGACAAAATATGCCATTTAGATGTATATATATATATATATATATATGTATGTAATATTACATTATGGTACAAAATTTATATATTGTGTACCTGGAAAATGAGAGAGGAAGAATTGCATGGACCTTCCAATCTCAAAGGCTTTACCAAAAATGTTTTATTTTTTGGTATAATTAGCTTTGCACTGCCTGTAGCCTCCTTTCCACGACATAAAGCCTCCCATGCATCCGCAAGTGCCTCACAAAAATATGTTCCACGTTTAAATTTAACATATAATATGTGGTATTTATAATCACGCGATCGAAAATATTAATATCTTCTATATATATTTATATGTAAGAATGATATATTTTACACAATAGTGTATTTATAGGTTATATATACTCACTTTGGAATCGTCCGAGGATCCATCACCCACGGCCTTAAAATCGAGTATATTAAGTGTAAGTTCACCATTGTTTTGAATTTCTGGACTCTCTCCGCCGCCATTATTGCATAATAATGTAACCATAAAAATGGTGAAGATTATCGCTGATTTCTGTCACAGTATCGCATTATATTTACAACGTCAGAAAATGTATATTATGTATATAATGAAGATTAATTATAATGAAGAAAAAAAAACGAAACGAAGAAGTGGATTCACTGCTCACCATATCTTTATCTCTGATTCTCTGTCCTTTTTTTCCGACTTAAATGTTTGTATGATGATGTAACGATTGTGCGTACACCTATATATGACACATTATGTAAGATGAACGTGTATATGTATGTATTCAAACATACTTTGTTCGTATATATTAGGAATGAATTAGTCGTGGGCGAAATAAAATACTTACCATAACTATATAAGCGAACATTTTATTCATTAATCTTGATACTATGGTTGGATAATTAATGCAAATTGTATACTGACTAGTGGTAGTTAGACGATAATCATTTACAAGAATAACTAATTGAGGAAGTGGCCTTTAATTAATTGACTGATTATATTCTAAAATACACAAAACAAAATGAAAAAGGAAAAATTTTAAATAAATATATGAATTTGTTTAAATCTATTTTTTGGTATTTTTTTTAAAATCTTATAAAAAAGGATTTGAACAAATTTATGTATTTATTTGGAATTTTTCAATAAAAAATATCATGTTAAAGTATTATGAATAAAGTGATTTTTTTATAAGATTTGAACAAATTCATGTATTTATTTGGAATTTTTCCAATAAAAAATGTCATGTTAAAGTATTATGAATAAAGTGATTATCTCAACCTGATTTTTTTGAATTTTTAAAAATAAAAATAAAGACAAAAAACAGATTAGAAAATTAGTAAAAACAATAACAACGCGCCAGGTAGGGATCGAACCTACGACTTTCTGCTTAGGAAACAGACGCTCTATCCACTGAGCTACAGGCGCAATCAATATTAAACATAATTATTTTATTGAATATATAAATCTAGTATTTTTTTCAAAATAGCCTGATAGGTTTATATTTTGGTTAAAAAAAATTCTATCGTCAAGTCAACCAACACAAATTTTATATGGCATAAAAACTCTTAAATCATTCCATACGTAAACACCGCTTAGAATTAAAGTATAAATAAATAAAAAAAATTAAGAATATCTCATAAAAAAATTATATTTTTTATTTTGTCTCAATAATTCGACGTGTGATATCTCGAGCTATGACAAAGGTTGTAAATGATCGCCGAAGCGATTCTCCAAGTACCATTAGGCTAGAAGATAAGGTAATGAATTGAACGTATCGCAATGAGAGCGATCTGACGGCTGTATAAGAATGAGACTATACGGTGTAATATAACTTAAAAGAATTAGTTGAACTACTAATAACAGGAAGATACACCTACATTTTCGGTTGATTATCCCAAGAGAATTCCAAAGTAAGTGTGTTGGATCTGTAACAATTTAATAATGGGTGATCTACTATAAAATGTGTTGATATGCATGCGAGTGAGGATAAAACACACTAAAAGATATCGTGTTGGTGTATGAGAGCAGTTTAAACATCGATCAAAGTTTTCTTTTCTCTACTATTCTTATATGTCTTTTCTTTATTGTGTTGAATATGTCTTTTTATAGTTTTAGAGTAGATATGTTGTTGTAGGCTAGAGATATAGTTTGTGTATAAAAATGTTTGGTTTTTAATCTACGATATCTTGTGTTTTCTCATTCATTCGGTTTTGTAAAATTGAATTTAATATTTTCATCAGTGTGATTACCTATATGACTTATTTTAATATTAGATCTATCAAAAAAATTTGGGGTTTGAATTCAGAACTGATTCACACAATAAAATTGATTAAAATGATCAGAAGATTAATTGTTTATAAATTGTGATAGAGATTTATAATAAGTTTGGACTTTAACCTAAAGTTTGGGGAGATGATAGGTAAAGAGATCTATATAGGGGAATAAATATTCAGAATAACTGTTCTTATTTTATAAGTTTAAATTTCTCAAATTGAATCTGAATCACAAATGTATTTTTATATTTAAAAACTAATATGTACGTTATATACGGTCCTACCGTGTAGTATTTTGTTACTTTTTATACTAGTCCTCTTTTTTTTTTGTCATTGTTACTATAATTGATTAGTTCTATTGTGATAATTAAGTCTAGATTATTATTTGCACCTTTTGTCCACCCTAGGTCGATGATCATGTTTTTAGCGTTGTTTCAAGGGACTAGTGTAACGACTCCAAAAACTGATGTGAAAGACTTGTTGAATCTTCACTTGGATTCTAAAAAAAATCTAGTTTATTCTAAATAAAAAAATATATATAATTTCATATCTACAGCGGAATTCTCAAAAAAATTGAATAACATAAGATAAAAATAAAAATCTAAATTATCGTGTCTCGCAACTATTGAATCTAATCACACGTTTTGTTTCACATTTTACCCGTAGAAAAAATAAAAGCGTGAGCTACATGAATAGAACAACGATGTTTTATGACTATAAACCTCACCTCTATACCCAATATATATAATAAAAAAGAGATAACAACAATCAATCATTCAAGCCAAACAAGATTCATTCTGTTGATTCACGTTCTTTTCTTCATTTTCTTTTGTTCAACCTTTTAAATCAACTCTAAACTTTAAAACCATTCAATACCCCTCAATCATGGTTTAAAATCGTTTTCTTTAAAATAAACAAATCATTATAACCCTTCTCGCATTGTTGTCGGCCTGTAATCGTTGTTGGGATCAGAGTTTCCACTCCACATGAATCACAATCATACCCATGTTGTTATCATATCATTACATATAATATGAACATATATATTATTATTTTAAACTATATTTTCTACGTTCAGTTTATTATTCAATAAAAAATCATTTATTTTTACAATCATTCTTTACTTTTATTATATATTAATATTTTTCTATTTTCTATTTTTATTTTTATTGTTAAATTTTATTTTAATCAGGTTTTATATTTTAGTTAAATTTTAAATTAAAAATTAATATAAATCGATTTATTTCTACATATTTTTATATATAAATATTAAAATTTTAAATATTTTAAATTTTTATATAAATTTTTTTACTTTGTGAATGGTTTTATTACAATATTTTTGTTATGAATTTTAAAATTTATTTATTTTAGAGATAACGTTATCTATTTTATGTAATAATTAATCTAAATGTAATGTATAATTACAATATTCTTTTGTATTCTAATTTTATGGTAATTTTTAAATATTTATTTTAATAATATATTATATTATATTCTTTATTTTCATAATTTTAGTTAATTTTAATTTTCAAATCTTTATTTTGATATTTTTAAGAAAAAAATGATAAAATAATATTTTAAAAACTTACATGTAAATAGCAGATAGTATTAAATAATAAATAACTTATATATTTATCTATATATGCATAACTTGATTGTATTATGATAATCTTGTTTTAATTTTTTGTATAAACCAACCGCCCAACTCACCCCGGATGGGAATTTGATATTTCTGGTACAGAAGTAAAAGAAAAAATATTATTATTTAAAATTAGAAATAATAAATACAATGAGATTTTTAAATAAATAAAATAAACCCAAAACAAGCCAAGTTCATTGCATGTGGATTTCTACTCGCGCATAAAGGCCATATCTTGACCTCACACTCTTCATCCCGTGTTTTTCCTTCTTTTCCCCTCTTCCCTCTCGCTCTCTCTCTCCTTTTTGCCCTATTTGATAGGGTTTCTTCATCTACGTGAATCTTTGATCTTCCATGCTCGTCAGCTTCGGCGATCTTAACGCAGCAGCTTTGATCGTCTTCTTCGGCTTCCTCGGATCTCTCTTTTTTGCTCTCTTCCTGTGGTGTTTGCTTGTGGAACCAAGCGGTTCCCTTTTCCTCGGGAGTTCTGAGCTTCAACCATGTCGGAGATCTTCAGTATCGCTGGTATGTTCCTGATCTCTTCCTGTTTCTTTAGTTTTCGTTGTGGAATTTGATGGATCTGCTGGCTTTTTGTTGGTCCTTGGATTTCTTATCTGTTGAAAAAATACGAATTTTTTTTATGGCTCTTTCGCATTCTTGAGCTCTGGCTCAGCAGATGTCCTGTGGTAGGGTTATAGATTCGAGGTTCGCTTGATTCCTCCTTGTGGGATTTACGAAGATTTATGCGATAATTTTCTGGGGTTTGTGGAGCTAAATCGTATTAGGAAAACTATAGGTCATAGATCTGATATGTTCTAGGATGATGGGTCGTGAATCATGTGATTTGGTGGGTTACTAATTAGAGATCTGTTCCTGATTGATGACAGCTAGGGGTGATTCATTCGGATATGTCTTTTCCTATTTCTTGTCGTTGTCGTTTCTGTAATCATTTTAGATCTGTCTGACCTTTGAGGGTTTGTCGTTTCGATTTTTGCAGGTGAAAATGGTTTTTGCCCTCGTGGCTCTATATACCCAAACCCAAAGGAGGCTAGCCTTTTGCTATCCCTCGGCAGTCTCGTCGATGCTTACTTCCCCCCTTGCAAAAGGACACGTGTCAGTGCACCTACGGCTTTCAGCGTGTTCGAGCAAGACCCAGTCTCCATTGATGTGCTGCCGGACGAGTGCCTATTCGAGGTTTTCAGGCGTTTGCCTGGTGCTCAAGAGAGAAGTGTCTGCGCTTCTGTTTCGAAGCGCTGGCTTAATCTTCTGAGCGGTATCCGTCCAGATGAGCTGGATGATATCAGCAAGAAAGCAAAGGATGCTTCCATGGAAGATTGTGAAGATGATGTTGACTGTGATGGATATCTATCTAGGAGCTTAGAAGGGAAGAAGGCATCTGATGTCAGACTAGCTGCTATTGCCGTTGGAACTGCTGGTTGTGGAGGGCTGGGAAAGCTTTCTATCTGTGGTAACAATTCTGCTTGCAGGGTTTCAGATCTTGGCCTGAGGGCAATTGGCCGTGGATGTCCTTCTCTGAGAGTTCTCTCTTTGTGGGATCTATCTACCATCAGTGACACCGGTCTCTTGGAGATTGCCAAGGGCTGCTCCCAACTCGAGAAGCTTGACTTGTCCCGTTGCCCTACAATCACCGACAAGGCTTTGATCGCGATTGCAAAGAGCTGCCTGGGCTTGAGTGAGCTAACAATTGAGTCGTGTTCAAGGATTGGAAATGCGAGTCTACAAGCTGTTGCTCGGTTCTGCCCCAAACTGAAGTCGGTCTGTATCAAGAACTGTCCTCTTGTCAGGGACCAAGGAATCGCATCCCTGCTGTCAAAGTCAACCTGTTCCTTGATGAAACTAAAACTTCAGATGCTGAACATCACTGATGTGTCTCTTGCTGTTGTTGGTCACTATGGCTTGTCGATCACCGATCTCCTGATCTCTGGACTGCCAACTGTGAGTGAGAAAGGATTCTGGGTCATGGGAAATGGTGTCGGTCTGCAAAAGTTGAACTCCTTATCCATCACATCCTGCCCGGGAGTAACAGACATGGGTCTTGAAGCTGTCGGGAAGGGCTGCCCAAACCTGAAGAAGCTGCTCCTGAGTAAATGCCCGTTGTTATCCGACAATGGGTTAGTCTCTTTTGCCAAAGCTTCCTTGTCAGTGGAGAGCCTCCAACTTGAAGAGTGCCACAGGGTTACCCATTTAGGGTTTTTTGGTTCCCTTTTGAACTGTGGTGCCAAGTTGAGGGCTTTCTCACTGGTGAACTGTTTCGGCATTAGAGACCTCACCACGTGTTTACCCCCATCATCTCCTTGCAACACCATACGCTCACTGTCTATCCGTAACTGCCCCGGTTTTGGCGATGCTAACCTGTCAGCCCTCGGACAGCTCTGCCCTCAGATCGAGAATTTGGAGCTCTGTGGTCTCAATGGAATCACGGATTCCGGGTTTCTACAGCTTCTCCATTCCACCCAGCTCAGTCTTGTGAAAGTCAACCTCGCCGGTTGTTCCAATTTGACTGACAAAGTGGTCTCTGTCATCTCAGCTCAGAGTGGTTGGACCCTCGAGGCCTTGAACCTCGAGGGATGTACCAAGATCACCGATGCAACTCTTGTTTCAATCGCAGGGAGCTGCCAGATTCTGAGTGACTTGGATGTTTCAAACTGCTCAATCACCGACTTTGGAGTCCAAGCCCTGGCTTCATCCAACCAGCTCACTCTCCAGATCCTTTCCTTGGCAGGTTGCCCTTTGGTCACAGACAAGAGCGTGCCCGCCCTCAGGAAGTTGGGTCGGACCCTTTTAGGTTTAAACGTCCAGCAATGCCGATCAATCTCCAGCGCCACCATTGACCTCCTAATCGAGCATCTTTGGAGGTGCGACATCCTCTACTGATCTCATCGGAGGTAACACCAAAAAAGTCGGGTCCTCGGGTAGCAACTAATCGTGGATTTCCCGTCAAGTATGACCTAAGTTTTCTTTTCATAGCCGGGTTCTCTACTAGTCTTTGTCGGGTATTCGTGTTTTCTTTTTTCAGGCTAAGTTGTCTATCCCGCCTCTCTCCCTCTTGGCTCAGTGCCCGGTCCCTTTTTTTTCCGAGTAGAGTGACCTCCGGTTTTTTCCCCAACAAAAAAACCCTTTTTTCGCAGGGTTTCCGTTAAGGCGGAAACTCTGTTCATAGGAACCGGTAGGTCCAATGTGTACTTGAGAATACAGTGGCTGGGTAATGTATGAGATTTTAGGAGGGAGGGAGGATATCGGAATGCTCTTATTACAGAAGCCTTTTGTTTATCTCTGTTTGTTCGTTGGTTGGGTTTGTGAGATCTAAAGATTGCATCTTTGGTTTGTTCCGAGTCTGGGGGGCTTTGGCTTTTGTTGCGACAACTCTCTGTCTGGTCTCGAGTTGTTTTTTTTGGCCAAAGAATCCCAGATGTTGTGTTCCGTGTAGTGATGAATGCCCTGTTGGGATATGATTTAGTGTCTGTTTACATATAAATAAATAAATAAATAAATAAAATTTCTTTTGTTGTATGTAATTACAATTTGAAGTTTTAGAAAGAGTGATAGTTATTATCATTATTGTAATGATTATCATCATTATGATGCTATGGTTGGAAAACATAATTGCAAAAGTGGTGGAATCAATGTGGGTGGAGGTTGAGATATTTTTTTTTTTATTTCTTTTGCCAATTAGACCATTAGAATAATTTCATTTTTATTCCTTTTTTTTATTTTATTTTTATTCGTTCCTCCTCACGCTGATTGATTCCCCCACTAGTTTTTGTTTCGTTGCAGCCCCACGCATCAACGTTGTTTAATCGCCATCGACTTTTAGTCCACTCATTAGTATATGGATCATAATATAAATATTGCAAATACCGTAAGGACTCGATAAATTAAATCAATGGTCGAGGAATCTTCAAAATCGACCCATAAAATTACAACACAAAATATCTCTAGTCTGGTAACTCACATTATACGCCATTGTTGGAAACTACGTTTAGTTGAAATTAATCACATAATTTATTAGCAAAACCCTTCCAAATTTCGAGATAATTGCAGATCAGCAGGATATATATATATATATATATATATATAATGAGATATTTAGTTAAATATGATGAGAAATTAGAAATTTTTGTTTTATTTCTGTAGAATGAAAATAAAATCCAACATCCAATTTTGTTTCCCACCCAATATATATATATATATATGATTAATTCAACCCATATATATTTTATATATGAGAAACCGAATACTGTCTCTACAGGATGCCAAGGATGGGCTCTACATCATATGAGTACGAGTCGTTAGTTAAAGTCCTGTAATAAGGCCGGTATTTTGTAAATGAGAATACTGTATGGTACTTAATATTATATAAAATATTTACCCCTTTACCAAAAAAAAATCTTAATTCTCGTTTTAGACCCTCTGTTTCTTGTCATAACCCAAAAGAATAAACAAAATATTGGGATCATTTTGTAAATATCAATAATAACGCTATTTATAAGAACTTATAATTGTTTTTTTTGTCCCGCTTCCATTATTTTTTCTCTCAAAATGTTATAGTTTATCTATTTATAATTATATTAGGTTAGTCCGTTAAAATTTTCCTTAGGAATTGATTAAAATTTGATTTTCATTGATAGAAATAAATTATTTAAAAATATATGTATATATATATATATATTTCAACTGTTTTACATTAGATTTGATTTAAAATTTTTAATTTTAAAAGATTATAAACATCCAATTGTTTAAATATTTCATATATTATATAATTAGAATTGATTCTATTTTATATAACCGGACGATATGGTCAGCTTAGTTTCGGTATTCGGTTTGAATTCGGTTCAATTCGTTTTTTGATTTTATAAAAATATATATCAATCGGTTATTATAACATATTCGGTTCGATTCAATTTCATTTAGGTTTCGTATTTTATTAAAAAAAGATCAAAACTCCTTTCAAAAAAATTGGTTATAAAGTTTTTTTAAAATTCAATTCGATTAGATTTCGAAAATTTTATTTTCGTTCAAAATTTGTAAACGGTCCGATTCGGATATTTTTTTGGGTTCGGACCGAAAAGTCCGCCCATAAGTTAAAAAGCAAATTAGGCATTGCCTCACAGTCAGAACAAAATCTCGTGATTCCATCAGTCTCTCTCCTTGAGAGACCCATTTGGGTTTCCACTGTGAGAGGGGAAAATAACCCGAAAAAAGAAAGAGAGAGATGATACTTCGGAGCGCGTCGTCGCCGGCGCTTAAGCCACGCGCCGCCGCCCAAAATCCGTTGGCGCCACGGGTTTCCGTACTTCCTGCGGGCGTCAAAATGATTCCCAGAGCTTCATCGGAGAGGAATCTGAAGAAGGCCGGAGGAATCACGAAATCGGCGTCTTCTAGGGTTCTAGAGGGATCCGGTTTCGGTGGAGGAAGGAAATCGTCGATCGGCGGAGACGGAGGCAGAGGCGGCGAAGAGAGCATGGAACGGTATTACGAAGAGATGATCAGACGATTCCCGGGCGATTCTCTTCTTCTGGCAAATTATGCCCGATTCTTCAAAGAGGTATGTACATAGACACATACACGCAGGGGTATATCATACCATATATAAGTGTTCCTGTTAGGGTTTTTTGAGATTGGGAAAGTGAAAACGTTGTCAGGTGAAAGGAGATGAGGTTAAAGCAGAGAAGTACTGCGAGAGAGCGATACTGACGTCCAAGAACGAGAGAGACGGAGGATTGCTGTCGATGTATGGAGATTTGATTTGGAAGAATCATGGAGACTCTGTTCGTGCTGAATCTTACTTCGACCAAGCTGTTCAGTCTTCCCCTAGTGACTGGTAATCATACTCATTAATCACTCTATTACCATTTACTTTTATGGATAGTATGAAATTTATTTATATTATATATATAATATCATAATGATATGGTTTTGGGATATTTCATGGGTTGACGGTCCATAAGGGAAAATACTATGATATTTCACCTAACGTTTTGGGGACCAAATGCTATGCCATTACTTTATTTCTCATTTAATCATATAATAATTGATCCTGTGGTCAATTTATGTGGGTTTAAATTTAGAAATTTTTATTAGTTTGGTTTCTCCTTAGTGTCATTAGAAGTAAAAATTAATATTAATTAGTTTAAATTAAATTAAATTTATAACAAATTATTATATATATATATATATTGAATAATGTAATACATTGTTGTGAGTGTTTGTTTGGTGGTGATGTAGTTATGTTCTTGCGTCGTATGCTCGGTTTCTATGGGATGCGGACGAAGAAGACGATGAAGGAGAAGGAGAAGTAAATAAATATCAAACCAATCTCTCTAACCCTTATTCTGAAATAGTTGCTTCATAAATCTTGTACCGATCCTAAACCGGTTTTCAGTTTAAATGATAACAGTTACTTGGGTTTGATTTCATGCCTTGAACCAAAATCAGTTCACCCCTACGCTAATTTGCTAAACCAATATTCTCCGTACCGTGTTCACTCTGCTGCTCGATTTGATTTCCTATCTTAAACCGGAAGATTTGGTAAAAATAAATCTGATTTTATGGTAATTTCATATATGTCACAATCAACAATCACGAACATGTGTATTTTCATATCTATTTATTTTCCCCTTTTTTTTGCAATAATTCATCTGTATTTTGAATCTTTTATGTGGCCCGTGCATCACCATATCTATTATCGATTATGCATGTGGTGAAGATATTTTGAAACAACAACAACAATAATAATAATTAGATATCATTATATTTATAATGATGATAACTTTGATTTTTTTTCCCCCAAAATTCAATGGAATAAACAATGGATTTTTTAAAAAAAAACAACAAGAGAATGGCACAAGGATCTGATGAGATAGAGAGAGAGAAGTTTAGGATGATACATGTAGTAATGTCTCTAACATCACAAGAAGATGGAGCAGAATCTCTGAAATCCGTCTATGGAAGAATACAAAGAATAAAAGAGGAGAATCTTTCACCAAAACAACATAATCTAAGAAAGCATTACAACCAACACCCGTTATGCATAACACCACCACCAATGAAATATGCCGAGAATCTATATATAAATAAGCAGCAATCTTTGGGGAAAGAAACTCACAATGCATACAACACTTAATGCCCAGATTCTCCATCTTCTGACAGTTCGATCCAATATGATTTCTCTCTTCTTCTTCTTCTTCTTTCCTGAGCTCCTTACTTTGGGCAAGAATGAGGTTCAGAAATTTCGGGGGTAGTTTGATCGTCCCACGGGTTTAATGCTCGGCTGCAACGGGTTGCAATGAAACCGCGGATTCAGCTTCCATTGTTGTGGGAGCTTGGTCTTGATGATCGGACGTGGAATCTGCATCTTTCTCGGGTTTTGCTTTCATGGAGTTTGTGGTAGCTTTTGCTGGTGCGGGTTTTCCCCCGTTGGACAGACTAGTCTTCTGAGAAGGCAACTTGGGAAGTGACTTGCGGAGAGGTGGCTTTACTGGCAGAGCGTCCTTCTCAACTTGGTTATGTTTGGAACCCTTCTCATCTAAACTCAGCCTACCGATACGAGGGGTATGATCAGTTGTTTCTTCAGAATCTGTAGCAGACACGGTCTTCTTCCGCCCTAGCTTTGGAGATTTAGGTTTTGTCGGTGGTATCTGCTTACAAGTAAATAAAAGGTAAACGAATAAACTATAATGATAGAGCTGCGAAGCATTACTAGACTCGGTAGCCATTGCAGACATACCTTCTTTAACTCCACTTTAGGTGGCTGAGGTTCTTGGTAGAAGGTAGGCATGGGGGTTGCTTTGAAGTTCAAACTCTTCCTCAGCATCTTAATCTCAGCTTCTTGTGTCTCCTGCGAGGAAAAAAAAAACAAGGATTTCAACCAGAGAAGCAGGGCTTTGGAGCTCCTAAACATCGACACCAGCAAGAGGATAGAACACACAACCTTGGACTTGGCCTGCATGTTACTCTTTTCCAATTCTTTTGCGTGAATCTTCTCTTCAAGCTTAGAATAGAACTGTGCCACCATAACAGCTAATTATGACAGTGGTTTACATGTGTGTGTAAAGGACAAGCTCCGGGGAGCAAAGGCAAACCTCTCTTCTTTTCTCAGCCCGTTGGTCACATCTGAAACTGAATCCATAATTTGGAAGAGCGCCAGCACGTCGAGATTTGCCATCTTCTGCCGTCGGACTTCTAAAAAGCCAATTAAGTTTTAAACTTCCTTAAAAAAAAAAAAAAGAGGCCAAACACAGAAAGGCAACAGCTTGCACAAATCTCAACATAAAAGAGGATAGAAAACATGAAGAAAGGTAAAATGATACTTGGAAGACTCAGATTCGCCTTCAGATGTGTCATGGGATTGTTTCTTCAGAGGCTTCATTTTGGTCTTGTCCCTGCATCAAAGAGACCAAAGAACAATCAGTTCCAAAGGATGAAAATAACGAGTGAACGAGACACTTGGGAATTATAAAACCGAAAACCCAGTGGCAAATCCTTTGGCTGTGGCAAATGGACTTATACAAAAGCTGAAGTCTTGAAACCGAGTTTCCAAGAAGAAGGTTCCCATACCCAGTGACTTCAGTTGGTGCGGCATCATGCTTTCCGTGCTGATGTGAGAAAGAAGAAATAAAAAAAATACTATCAATACAGTATCAGAAACATTATCAGTCAAAAGAAGCAAAAGGCTGCATAACCCAATTCAAGTCAACCTAAGAGATAGTCACCTTTGTGGCATGAGCCCGTTTATCATCAAAGGATTTGTTCTTAAGATCATTTGTTGTATGTGTATTTGGAGCAGCAGAACCATTCGATGCAGCCACCTTAGCTTCTATACTTTTCTCATTGTTCTTCTTCTTCGTAACCGAGACAGATGAGACATTCTTTCCACCAGAGAGATTCTCACCCTTGAACTTTCCTTGAGCCTTTTGTTCTCCAGTATGCTTTTCATCATTCGCATTTTCAACTCGCGTGTCCTACAGCAGAAAGGGATATTAGCCCCGAGAATTTTTCTACCACGGAAGCAAATCGGGCATTCCTCATTACCTTGGGTTGCTCGCTAATGTCGAAATCGGAACCACTTCCTGAATTTTCAATTGGATTTCCAGTAGCAGTATCCAAGACTTCACCTGTAGCGCCATTCAACGAATCGGAAACATCACCATTTTCATTGGTTAGACCGCCATTTTCAATGGAAGCCACAACCGCAGCATCGGTTTTTTCAGAGTCCATGATAAACTACAAACCCTAAACAAAGGAGTTAACACCCTGGTGTAAGTGACAGTGGAATATCAATCAACATTTTCAATGATCAGGATTCAACAAACCAACACTTGGAAAGAGGCATCTGCATATAGTCAAAATCAATCTATATACAACAGACATTTCTCCATGGAATCAGTCTCACAACGCAATCACCGTTTCTTCCCAAGTCAATGATCGACCGAGGGAAAATTTCTCCAAAATCTACTCGTTAATCGATCCGTCAACATATATCTCCCAGTCCATGAATCGATCCAAGGTAAACAAAAACAATCCAAATCGGAGAAATCGCTGTTCGTCGTCTCTGAAAATCGGAGAAACTCAAATCTCATTCCAAAGAAGAAGAAAATCTAATTTGAGAAACCCCAAATCTCATTTCTCCACTAGTGCAGTAGTAAGCTCAGTAGTCAAGTACAAAAAGGAATCACTCAATGGTCGATCTACCGACAACCAAATCACGAAACCAAGAGAAAACAGTTACAGGAGCTGCTTAGGTTCTAAAACTTTCCGCCATTTTCTCCCTAGTTTTCTCGGCAACCAAACAAGGGAAGCAAAAGAAAAAACAAACAAACAAAAAAGGAGCGCACAAAAAAAAAACGCTGCATCTCCCTCACCTAACGAGCCCCTTGACAAATCAAACATCCATTGAAGCAGAAACCGAGCTGAATCAGAAAGATTTGGTTTCAAAGATTTGAGATGTTGGATTTCGTTTTTTTTTTTTTTTTTTTGTGGGTGTTTGCTCTCTTGAGGGCTGAATTTTCCTTCCGGTTTTTTTTTTTTTTTTTTTTTTTTTTTGTGGGTGTTTGCTCTCTTGAGGGCTGAATTTTCCTTCCTATTTGCACCAGTATGATGATTATGTGGGGTTTTTTTGTGAACAAAAAGGAAAATCTAAAAAGGCTCTGTTTTAATGAATTTATTATTATTATTATAGTTGTTATTATTATTATTATATAGGCGGTTCGAAGCTCAGCGCCACGTCAACAGGGTGAAATTAAGGATAATTGGGTGATTTTATTTTGGATCAATTTGTAATATAAGATAAAAGTAACTGGGAATTAATGATTGTTTTGAAATCAACTTTTTTTAAAATAAAAAATATCATAAAAACTAAACGGTGAATTAAAATATAAACCATTGAAAAAGGATAAAAAAATATTTCAAATAACAAAAAGATCTACAAATTTACAATTATTTTTTTGGTAAAACTTACAATTATTTTTAAAATGTCTTATTTTATTAATTTCACTTTGTTATCGATTTTTTGACGAAATAATCGGCAAAACATCATGAATATACGTACATACATATATATATATATATATCATATGTAATAATTTTATTTATATATTTACTTGTCTAATTTTTTATATATATATATATATATATATATATATATATCATCTGTAATAATTGTCTAATTTTATTTATGGATGAACAAAAAGATGTGGGTCCTAGAAAATTATATAGTTTTTCGTTATGAAGAATAAATTTTGTTATTTTTGTTTTAAATAATGTGTTTTTTGTGTTTTTTTTTTTACTTTTGAGGTACACATGCATGCACGAAAATATGCAATATTCATATATTTTTTATGGACATTTTTTATGCTTCGGATGATTGCATTTTGATGCAAACACATTTACAACAATGTGTAAATATATATAAATAATTACCAATGGCCGTCCAAAAATATCCAAATATATGTTGGAACATGACAAACTTAGCTGAGGGAACCCATGTGGACTCTAGTTGCTCACGACCCGAGAAATATTTTCCTTTAACCAAATACTATATATATATATATATATATATATATTAATTTACTTGTAGTTAAAATTTATGTTTTTATATATTTAATACAGATTCTGACATGAATACTAATTAATTCTATTATTAAATATAGATATATGTAATTTATTATAACTTAACCTTAATTACAAATAAATGTATAACTCTATATATAAATTTAATATGAATTTATCTTTTATAACTCCAAATGTATAACCTATATATCTCTATATATATATATATATATATTGTTTTCACTTCTAACAAATAATTTCATCTTTTAACTAAAATTGATTGAGGTATTACTTGTTACGGGTACAAGAACATTGACACAAGTCATGTCTCATCCATTGACGAAAATTCCAAAAACTGTTCCGTCAAACTTTCATATTCATAATTTTATGAATTTATTTTTATTTATTATTAATTATTTTATTCATAATAAGTTTTTGGATTATTCATATAGTCTAGAGTCATATTAATTTGATTGAAATGATACATTACTCGGATTATCATATAGTATTTATTATGATATGGGAGTCCGCTGCCGCTATCAGCTATCATCTACGTGCAAATCGGATAAACTTTTGTTTATATATAATATAGTATACAAATCACATGAAAATGTAAACCATTTTAAATTAACCATAATTGGTAAATTCACATATAAAGAGACTAACTAATTAAGCCCATGTGTGGTGGCACGGTGGTGCTTTCACATCCGAATTCGAGTTCCACCTAGACAAATCACCTATACATTCAACCAATTCACATTAATTTTTCTAAAAAAATATTAAAGAAATTATGCATATTCAAATGATCAAAAAAAATGTGAACATGTATAATGAAAATTTTGCGAGTGGTTTATATATATATATATATAAGATAATAAAATAAAAAGAAGAAATGGTACTTTTGTTTTTGTAATGCTTTAGGGCATCAAGGACGTACAACAATTAAAACTATACAAGTACTTGGAGTTAGGTTCATTAAAGTTGATGACTTTTGAGATTTATGGTTAATGAGTATCCATCAGTCATATTATCATCCTCTTAATTATTTTTTTAAACAAAGGATAGTAGAACATTAGATTTCTTTTTCCCACTTTTGGATTTTACGCGGGTGGGTATGTATGGTTGTAGAACGAGTGAATGAAACAAAACAGGTGTGAAATATAGGAAATAAAATTTAAATTTATTTTGAAACTAAAAAATTATAAACAAACGAACATAAAAACGAGAAAATAAAATATGGAAAGTATTTTCTGTTTTCCATTGAAAACTTCACATATAAAGTTTGTTGTTTATATAGAAATATAAACACCATAATTAACAATCTTTACTAAATGACAATTAACCAAGCTTATGCCGACAGTATGCAGTGTATACATATACATATATACACACACTCCTGTCGTAAATGCATTAATTTGTTTTAAAGTTGATGTATGTAGAGAGAGTGGAGATTAAGGGTCAGCGTTTAGGTATGATTTTTTAGAATCAAACCGAAAAATATGGCATTTTCCTCGAACCGAACCGAAAAATATGGCATTTTTTAGAATCGAACCGAAAAATATGGCAGTTTCCAAAACTTTTGAACGGTATTTGTTTCAAAAAAACTAAAATTTTCGGAACCGAACTGAATCGAATTTAAAAAAATCCAAAAAAACTGAAAAATTCTTAAGAAAATCTAAAATTTTCGTAATAAAAACCGAAATCAAATCAAATATGATATTATTATAATCGAATGATACATATTTTTTTAAAACCGAAAAAAACTGAAATAAATCATTCCCGAACTAATCTCAAACCTAGTGGAGATGAAGAGCCTATCACGTCATGTTATCTTTATGTAATTCCCACTAGGATGGTGATGGAGTAACATACTTTGATGGATTTGTACCTATTATTCTTACATTAAGAATTTTAAAAAAAATAAAAGAAAACAACCATTAAAAAAATTACACATCTGTGCCACATAATTTATCCAATTCAAATTCTTTTATTGATTAAAATTTTTTGTTATTCTACAGTCCATTAATTGTATTACCAATAAAACATCTAGGCAGGCACAACATTTTTAAGTTGGTTGAATAACATTAGGTATGAGCGTTTCAGTATTCGGTTTTCGGTTTGGTTTGAAACTTATTCGGTTCATTTTTTTATTCTAGAAAAATATATATCAATCGGTTATTAATCATATTTAATTCAGTTTTAGTTTTTATTAAGAAAAAAATTAAATTTTGTTAAAAAAATCGGGTTTTTTTGGATTTTTTTAAAATTCGTCTCGATTTCAAGAAATTCAATTTTCTAAAAAAAAATGTTAAAAAAATTTTGGAAAGTTGATTCGAAAAAGGTACTAAATTTTTCGATTTGATACGGTTCGATTTTAAAAAACTTTATCGAAACTTCCCTCTTGATAACATAAATAAAAACAAAAGGAGTTATTTCTAAAAGAAAAAACGAATAAAAGTACATGTAACAATTGTTCAAATTAAATTAAAAAATAATGATAATTAAATATTCGTTTTGGAGTTAGAAAGAAAAATTATAGATAACCTATGAGTGTGACAAACAAAACAACTTATCCATGAAAGAAGACTAAATAGGTACAGTTATGTCCACCTATTTAATTAATTACTTCTAATTAAAAAATATAATTAATTAAGTGAGCAAACAGTGTAGTTTTCGTATGCTTGCCTAAGATTTAAGGAAGAAAGTAAATAAAGACTATTGACTAATCAAGGATCAAGCAAAATCATATTGTAATTAAAGCAAATCAACCATCTAATTAATGAACTATTTTTTACCTCTAAAAAAACTTTTTCCAAGGAAAGAACCAAGAAAAAGAAAGATTATAAAAAGGAAAAGGAAACCTGAATTCAAGGGATTTAAGTTAGGTATGGATAAAATTAATAATTGAAAATTAGGGTTTGGTCCAAATTTATTATTGAATAGTAAAGATATGTTATTCACAGTTCAATTGTTTTAATATTAGTTGTCCAAAGATTAAAAAAATATTAGTATAAAAATATTACTAATATGTTTCGTATTTATTACAAAATATATATTTCTATATTAATTTAATATATTTGTTTAAAATTTATATAATTTATCTTTTTATAAATAAAAAGCAGTTCTTTAATAGAAGGAATCCTATCAATATCATGCACTCATTCCAACACGCTTTAACCTTAATTAAATAATCATTGTTCCTTAACTTCCTTTACTGAAACATTTTCAATAGAAAAACTAGCAGAATGAGATATTAATAATAATAAAATAATAATAATCGTATGCCCCATGTCATGCAGAAGAAAGCAAGGCATATCATTTCAATGTGTGTGTGTATATATCTATATATTTTTATAAGTATGCATTCACATGGATACATATATAGCATGTGGTAGGTCAAAGCACTAATCAAATGTGATTATTGTGAAATAAACAGTTTTACTATCAATATCATAATAAAATAACAATTATAGCACAATTAAGGATTTTTGTGGCTTTATCGATGCTTAGGACATCAGCAATGTTACTTCAAGTCTTTGTCCGAACAGTCCGTATAATTTTCGTCACTTGAGCGCATACGGCCATTATCTAATGGTAAAATATTATAATCATTGTTTTGGTTCTTTTAACAATCTTATCCTAAAGTTTATTAGTTTTAAAATCTCATTTACCTTTTCATAATTATAAAGTTTTTTTATATTTGAATGCCTTTTTTCTTTCTCCGTCTTCCTTTTTCTTATAATATATAAAAGATTTTTAAACTTATGGATTTAGTTTTTATAAAAAAAAAAACATGAAAATTTTCTAAATCATGGTTATTCTAAAGATATTATTGAATTGGCCAATGTTATTGTGTATCATCACCGCGAATCAATTTCCAGTTTATTTTGTTTTCATTGGAACAGAGTATAAGAATGTTTCCGGTGTATCATCTACTCTTGTTATAATTTATTACTCAATGACGAATACATTAGTTTCAAGAATGATTATAAATAGGTTAAGAAAAATCATATCGATAACATAGAAAGTCCAATAGAATCTTCTAAATTCTCTCGAATCATCACATTTTTTTTTTATCATAATGTAGGTAATTTGGGCGGTTGTTGTCATTAGGGTAACTATGTTTCAATGTGACATATTAATTATATTTAAGATATTTATTTTGTATATGATCATACAAACAAGTGTTGATAGATAGATATTACTAAGAACGAGCAGCATATGATTTTTATGATTAAATATGATTTGGCAGAGTAATTAAAGAAGAAACCAAATGTGATTAGACATAAAACGCCTTTTAAGCCAAGTTGGGGCCAGTGGCAACATGTTAATATCACCTGTTAAATGTTCCTTTCACTTGCACATTTATCATATCTGTATACTTCAATTAAATTAATAATAATAATAATTTATTAAAATATGAAGAGAATATAGCATTTTATATTTTGAACAAATTAGACCCAGATGTATATGCCTATCTATAATTGATGCCTACTAGAGAAAATTTTCTAATATAACATTAATTAACTTGTGATAATGGTAATAATATACAATATAACCTTCTGACGTTACTACTAGAATGTAAAGACATTTGTAGTAGAAAAAGACAGGAACGATCGATATTAATAGGTAATTTAAATTTAGATTATATTTTAGTTTTTTTCTTTATAAATTATTTTTATATAGATTTTCCATTCAGATTTAAACTAAATATACATTTTTAGCTTGAAAATACTATACAACTTGTCAGTTACTCCGTTGGTTAGTTTTTTTCGTTTATAATGTTTTTTTTCCTTCAAAGG